AATTTTTTAATGTTAATTTCTGTAAAGTTTACTTGGATGGATAAAGTTAACTATTCACTCAATTATACACTTTAAAATTTATTTTATTATAGATACCACTATATTTGCTAACAAAAATCACATACATCATAAATACCAGGGACAGAAGTTGGTTAGAGACTGGAACATTCCCAAATACCTAAGAAGGGTCATTCTAGATCCCTAGCAAGGTACTTTAGTAGACAGTGGGAAAACTTCTGTTGCTGCTAATAATGAGGTAACTACATTGTGACTAACAAACTAAAATACCTTCAGGGTTGTAAGTTTGTTATCTGTAACCCTTTTGTAATGGAAGTTCTTATAATCTTGGAAGAAATACAAACAAGATGTCATTTCTATGGATCAGGTTCTTGCCCTGTCATGTGAAAATCAGAAAATGTTTGTTACTGCAAAAATCAGATAATGTTAGCAAAATTATTTCATACTATGCTTGTCATTGTCAGTAAACACCATTTCTGTCAATAATTTAAATTAATCATAAACTAGTATAAATTCATAATCTCATGGATATGTAGCCCATTACAGTTTAGTGAATAACAGATAATTTACACAAGCTTCTAAAACTACATTCTTGACATAGGTAAGCTGTACAAACCATAGCAGGATCTCTATGACAATGAGAAAAGCAAAATGAAAGCTCCTTCACGTTGCACTGAAAAGAAATGCCAAAAGATTTTTTGGGGTACTACGAAACCTAGTAATGATTCAGACCTCTGAATATACAATATCCCTTAATGGCACACAATAGCAGCAATCAATCTCTGATGCTATGGCCCAGTAGTTAAAGCTCAGACCTTAAAGAAATCACAAAGCTTCTTCATCCATGACACAATGCAAAGGGCAAAATAACAGTTTATTTTCTGTGGCCATTTTTTTTTCTGATGAGAGGAAAATTAATGCTTCAAGGAAAAATAGAAGGGAAACTGCTTCCTGGGGAAAATAAGCATTCTTCTTTCATCTTTAGACTACATTTTATAGTTATAAGAAAATAAAATCTTAATCCTGTAGGAGTTTATCTGGTTTTGGTACCTGCAAAGTATTTGAATTACAATGTTCTTATCTGGGATTTTAAACTCATTCCATTATGTGTGATATTAAGAAATAAAATTTCACATGGCTTTAAATTGGAGATTCATATATTCATACAGAGCCATACTACTCTGTATTACATTGATTATTATTTAGTACCAGGGTTTCATATGCAAATCCAAAGTCAAGTGAATCCCTCCCCATACCTTTCACATGACAAGCTTTTACAAAGTAAAATAGTATTGCATGCTGCCTGTAAATCTAAATTATAAATCTAAGTCTACCCTGTGCTTAAGCACTTCAGCCAAAAGAAAATATGGCCTTTGGCATATCTGCATTTCAGCATCTGTATTTCTTAACTGGAAATACTTGACTATGTCCCAAGTTCATATGCTTAGTTGTACCATTCTGGCCTAATGCAAGAAAACAGGTTAGTCGCCAAGAAAAGAATCTCAGTGTAGAACATCCAATTCTGAAAGTTATGATTGACAGGAAAAGACTCTCACAACCAAAAGGAACAGAAAATGAGCTGCTACATCTTTTAAGAAAATCTATTTCTACTAAAATTTTGCACATTACTGAAGAGATTGCTGGGAAGGATTCATTGTTGGTCTTCTAGAAGCAGAGAAAATTTTTTCTCCTGTTTCTTTTTTTTTAAACTATAAAATTTCTTATCTACCAATTACAAGAGAAAGTTATTCCATGGGCTCAGTATACTTAGCTTAGATTGTAAGTAACTTCAATATAATCTTAAACAGTTACCCGAGAGGCAGAACTCACAAAAGTTAGAAAGTTTTTTGCTCTAGTGGGAATGGACATTTATCTTCTAAATCATATGTCTTTCATATGGATTACAAAACAAATAGCAGATTCTTCCTTCTTGGTGTAAATCAGGAAGTTTGGGTTCTGCTGTTAGAATCATACAAAATGTAATTTAACACTGAAAACCACCAACATGTCTAAAATGCTGCTTATTTCAGGCAGTCTATTAAAGATGTTGACAGCTATTACCTGACAGTGAAAATAACAGACCTACAATTAACTAAGCATTCCAGAATTCAGACTGTTAAGGAAAAATTGAAGACATTTGAATAGAAAAAGCTTTTCCTGAATCTTTAAAAAATCCCATCTAATATACCAAACAGTAAGGTGTCTGAAACACCAAGCTGGATAGATCTTCACTTTTTGATGCCCCACACTAAACAGGATGATATACATGCTAATTCTATTTAAGTTTGTGCAACCATATGAGAGGAAGACTATTGTTTTGTAAGCAAATGTAACTCCAGCAATGCAGCATTCCAAGTATCTGACCAGAATATATTGACACTGGATGTGACTAACCACACAGTAATGCTCCAGGGGTGAGGGGAGAAAACTGGGGGAAAGCATACACAAAACCATCCGTGATTCTCTCACAAACTGTTTGTCAGAGACAGCAAGACCTCCACACAAGAAAGGAGTTCAAAATTCATTGCTCTTTTATGGGTGCTCTGAGATCAGAGCCTCAGTATTTGGAGACCTGCTCTAGAGATCAGGGCCCTCAGTAGTGGACTCTATATGTCCAATTATACCAAAGATGTGGGGGTTTTGTGGGTGTGGTAAGAAAACTAACTCTCTTTTAAGCTGTTTTATCAAATTGCTGTTCATATCTATTTCCAGCCATTGCAGAACTCTCAGCTTCCTTCTTTCAGGATTTCTGCTTCCCATACCTATAGCCCCTCTGAGAAACTCATGCTGTGCTATGCAAAGGCTATTTAAGCAATCTTTATTGACATAAAGTACCTTGGACCAAAAGAAATTTTTGATGGGCACAGGTAGGAGACGGTCACGTTGAAACAGCCAGAAGCTGGTTTTTTTTAACAAGGATTTTAAAAGCATTATAGACATGCAAAATCATATTGCAATGATCCCACGTAACTCATAAACTGGGGGATACCCAAGACATCTGCCTTTGCACAATGCAGAAGGGCTTGTAACAGGCGTGATCTCTGCAACCTCAGAGAGCAGACTTGACCACAGACTGCAAGTCACCAATAAAAGGAAGTAGAAGGCATCATGATCATAATTCAGTCAGCCTCCAGTTGAAGAATGAGAAGGAGGAGAAATCTACTACCTCCTTACTACATGATAGAGTACTCCTCAGAGAAGTGTAGACACTTCTACAGATGTACCAAGGAACAGTCTCTGATACAGAGATTTCCTTTTCAAGGGAGTGCAGCTCTTCACTGCCTCCTCTGAAATATTATTAGAAGAAATGTCCAGGATGGATCATAAAACTTTTCACAAAAGAAAAATCATAAGGTGAAAGCACAGAGCTTCCTCATTTGACAAGTATTTGTTGGTAACAGAAACAACACCAACCACTGTGTGGTAAAATTAGCTGTAATGAAGAAGTATATGAAATTGTATCCCTTAGAAATTGATATCTGGCATTTTTATTGAAATAAGCCATGTCACCTGTAAATTTGCAATTACATATACTAGTGGCAAAATGATGTCAGACCTGTAAAAGAGAAAACCCTTAACATTTGGAATAAGTCATGTTTTATTCTCATGACTTACAAGTCATACATACAGGCAAGTAGATACATTGTATGTGGGAGTATACCTGTAGTGTTTTTGAAAGTTAGGATGAACTTTAATGGTGAGATTTCCATAGGAATACACAATGCCAAATCTCTATTCCCTCAAAAGTCCTGAAGTACATGTTCAAAATCAAATATGAGATTTCTACAGTGGAATATATATAGAAAAAACCCCTAACCCTTAATCCTAACCCTAATCCTAATCCCTATCCCTACCCCTACCCCCTAACTCTAATTCCTAACCCTGCCCCTACCCTTACCCCTAATCCTAAACCCAAAAATATTATTGCAGTTTTATTCAGACTCACAACAGTGCTGATGTATGTGACTGCAATCTGTAGATACTGCTATCCTGGACAGAGTTTTTAATTATGTTCTTATTTAAAATAGGTGTCACAAATAATAATGACCAATAACCCCACTCTCAACCACAAGAGTGGAAACCAATATCCTCAGAAATTGACAACTTCCAGTATGATACAAAAAGCCAGCAACATCCATTCATTCCAACAGATATTTAACACATAGGATTGTTTTTCTTTTGTGAAAAAGATCCACATCTTTCATTCTTCTGAAGTCAATAGGAATTCTGAATAAAAATACCCAGGTTGAAACTTTTCAGATTGCATTTGCTACTTCCCTATATGAATTACTGAATTTCACTTAACTTCCTATTCACATGTAAGATTTACATACAACTCTTGTTCTAGGGAGAAGAGGAAAAATGCCAATTCTGAAAATTTCCAAAGGTCCTACTCTCTGTAAATAGGAATTGAAGGGGAACAGACACTACTTTGCTCTGTCAGGCAACAGGAGACTAAACTAGCATATTTACCTTACCAATTTAAATCATGAAGTACTTAAAGTGACCACTCACCTCTCAGGGGTTATAATTTTTTTTAGGAGTACCTGTTGCAACAGGACACGGGGTAATAATTTTACACTAAAAGAGGATAGATTCAGACTAGATATAAGGAAGACATTTCTCATGATAAGGATGGTGATACAGTGGCACAGATTTCACAGGGAGGTGGTGGATGCCTCACTCCTGGAAACATTCAAGATCAGGCTGAACGGGGCTTTGAGCAACCTGATCTGGTTGAAGATGTCCCTGCTGTTGGGCTAGATGACCTTTAAATGTCCCTTCCAAACCAAATCATTCTATGATAACACTTTTGTGGGAAAATGGGGACACTGGGGATTTTCAGACAGCTAAGAAGCAGACTTGGGTTCTTTCAATAACCGCTCTTTCTCCTCCATTTCCTTGTGATCTTACATCCCTGCAGCCAGGAAAAGAATGTTTATATGAGGATTCCCCAAGATACAGGATGTATTTTCAGTTTGGTGACAAAATGTTTGCAAAGTTGTTCTTCTTTCTCAGAAGCCAGAGATTACTTTGACTGCTGCATGGGACTCTTATGGTTATATTTTCAAAGCTATGCTTGTGCTGGAAACACAAATCCCATTACTGTTACAGGATTAGTGCACATAACTTTCCAAATGCTGCCTTAAAAATGAAGCCAAGGAATATCAGTTGTGTGGTTTCTGGAATTAATGTAGGCTGTGATTATTGGGCAGTCTTTACAGCAGCATTGTTATATATGCATTTTTTGATGTGCTGTCTCTAGACACTCATTCAGACCTGCCTGTATTTCTTTAGTAGTTGGTTATTTATTAAAAAAAAGGAATGATAAGACATCAGGTTCAACGTACCTCTAACTCTCCAGATGAACACAATTTGTCTTGACTTTGTTAACACTATTTCTTGGTGCCTTTTTAATGTCTCTTAGGAAAAAAGAAAAAAAGGTTAACAAAATTATTAGCATAATCTTTGTTTTCCTTAGTTCCACTAGAAGCTTCAAACCTGTGTTGCAGTGATGGAATCGACATGGTGCCGACATTACCAATTCCCCAGTTTCTTGAGTCTGATTAAACTTTTTCTGCTGTTCTGAACTAAAACAGATTTTGTATCTTATTACATTGTACAATTGCCTCAGATAAGAACTAGTTTTTTCCTTCTATTACTATGCAGCATCTATTGCAATCACAGTGTTAATTTTTCACACTGTTAAACGCTTAAAATGTCCCTATGCTTGTATTATCAACTTTCAAATGAGATTGAGCCTGTTAACCATTGTTTTAACCACTAAAATCATTAATAATGGTCTTGACACAGAAAGAGATGAAAGGAAAAGAATGTGTCTTATAACAGAGAGAAATCTAGTTTCTGTATGTGGACTATGAGGTATGGCATGTGTTGTCTCTCCAGCAGTACGAAATCTCAAGCAGTTCCAGACATGCCCGTTGACATATCAACAGGCACAGTTTGAGAAAGCCTAGAAATTGGTACCACATAAGCGGGCATATTCAGGTTTCTAATTTTTGGCTTTAAGCGCCTCATTTTACATTCAGCATACTACAGGTTTATATACTTATCCTGATTTGGTTTTTATTCCTGACATTGCCATTTTTTTGTTCTGTTTATACAATAAAGTAGAAGTTGGATGCTGTTGGTTTCCTGTGTATCAGCAGGGTGAGAAGGCCTCTTCAGGAGAGTAATTCATTCATTCATTCATTCATTCATTCAGTAATTCAGTGAATCCTTCCTCTGAATTGCCCTCTAGGTGGTAGAAATCTCTTTCTCCTAACAAATTTTGAGGATTCTACGAAGGCTAATCAACCAACACAGGCACTTGCCATGGAGTGCCTTGAATCAGGCTGTGTGAAAAGCACCCAAATTACAAAATAACACCACTCTTGCACGGGTAACCCGGCAATATCTGATTTTTATAAAAGTAGGTAAATTATGGTAGTTGTCTTCTCTGCTATTGTCATGTTCACATCCAATATAGAGCTGACATGCAGTTAATATAAAAAACCATTTATCCCACAAGACGCATTTCAACTATTTCCAGACTGAATCTATCACTGACTTTAGCTTTCATCTTCCTCTTTTGTCAAAATTTTCTAGGCTTTAAATATAATCCAACTAGAAAGAACAGAGATTATTTCTTCAGTAAGTAACAATAATTTCTCTTGTGACGATGTGGTATAAATACAGACAGCATCCAAAAGTCTTACAGCCACTCATATAATAAAGTTCTTTTTCAGTGTGATTAAACATCAAATAGTTTTTAAAGAACCCATTTATAAAATTTGAATTTCAAATATTTATTTCACTGCCAAAAAATCTTATTTTGTGTTCAGACAACTGAACCATAAATCCTCCCAATCCTTAAACTGCACTGGCCAAAGTACTATCATTCATTAGATAAGGATAGTGACTACCTCATTTAAAATGAATCCTAGTAGATGACAGGCAGTGGAGGGAATATATTCTAGCGTGATATGAGCCAGAAATACAGTTAACTAAAGGAAAGAGCATTGAGGGGTGGTAAAACAGGGAAAATGCCTGCATGATGATGTTTGTGAAGGAGGCCATTCAGAGCTTCTACACACACAATATTTCTTACATAGTCTTGGCTACGGTCCAAGACTGTATACTCACACACACATATATATGTATAAAAAATGCACAGTCCATCCTGGTATATAATTTAAAACATGTATTATAAATACTTACATATATTAATCCAATAGTTGTGGGCTACTTACTATCAAAGTCCACTGTTACATGTAACAGGGAACAATATTATTTTACTGTATTGTTTAAATAGATTTGGTCTTGTGATATATAGAAAACTGATGGTGTAAATCAGGATCTTATGTCTCATTTGGCAAATAGTAGACATTTCAAATGGTTTTAATCCTCTGAGGACAAAGTAATAATTCTGTTCTGATTTTTACAAGTTATACACGTGCCTATTGCACACAATATAAAAAAGAAATCAATGCGAATGTTCACATTAATAGATTTTAGGCATATCCATAAAGTTGGAAGAACTATGGCCTTAGTATTTACATGGATAGAAGTAGTTTACAACAAAGTGAAGAAGAATGGTCTGTAATGACTAGACATGTTCTCCACAGAACCTGGAATAAAAAGCAAGGACTTTAAATTGAACAAATGCTTCAAAGTGATACCAAAGTATAAATAACAACCTTCAGGTTTTACTTTCTCTATATTTGCAGTTGACAATATGTTCCTGTAGAGAAAACAGTGAAGTCTTCAGACTTTTTTAAAATAAAAGCTTGAAGGTTGGGGGTTTTTCATTAAAAAAAAATAAGCCAATCTTAATACAAAGCAGTACAGGATTGAAAATGGGAAAATGAGAGCTACTTCTATCACACTAACCTAAAGTGACTTGAGTGGTATGATATGTTCTTCCAGGGCATGGCTAAAGCAGGAATGAACAGCTTAGTTCATATTCAGTCTGGAAACAAGAAAAATGCTTTCAGTTACATTTTGGTCTTGTCCAGAAGAGTTCTGTTGGCATTCAGTAAGCACCCACAATTACAAGATCTGGGGTACATCCCGTCAGTTGTTCACATGCAGTTCAGCCCAGAGCACAGCAATAAGGTCAACAGAAGTTTAGAATTTATTACAAAGAAAAGATTGCTGCTGTGGGACCTCTCTGGCATCAAGCCTCAGAGAGCCAAGAGCAGCCCCCCGTAACTGCTTGTCTACACAATCTCCATTGTTCTCTCAGGTTTCACAGCTGCAGAGGTTACTTTCTGTTCCAGAAAGTAAGAGCTCTCCTCCTGCTCTCCTCCCTGCAAAGTTGCAGAGCAGATCCACAACAGGAAGGATTTTGCTCTTTCTGTCTCATTTTGGAGAGGGAGGGATGCTGATCTTGCAGGCTCTTCACTGCTTATATCACCCTGCCTGAACCAATTAACTTGGCCTTAATAGCCCAGTGGGTCTCAGGTGGCTGGGGCTTGACAAGGTATTTCCTCTCTGTGTGCTAGTCTGGATAAAAGTTACTCGAAGGACACACCTCCTAAATTGTGTAACCTTTTTATATTTAATCAAAAAACAACCTTTGCCTTATATATTAGAATCTGAAGATAAGCCAAGAACATATGAATTGAATATTTTAAAGTCCTTTGTAACTGATTAACTGTGTTCCTCAGAGACATTCTTGCTAGTTCCAAAGAGGAGCCTTCACCTAACAGTTTAATAGAGGGAGCTTAGGGTAAACATTTTTCCCAAACATTTTAGTAAATTGATCCCTTTCTACACTGGAATTCTCCTACGTCCCCTAGCAGGAATCACCCGCAATTCCCAACTGATGACAGTCTGAAAGGCAGGATATTTGTGGCATAAGGAAACTAGAATTTGAACAAATCTATAGAGTTAAAAAAGGGATCTATCCATGCTATAAAGTTGGAGCTGTAGAGCTGATGTCCCAACACCCTGCTATGGCGTAGTGGCATCTCATGGACTCCAGCAGTTCCTGGCAGAAAGCAGAGGAGACAGGGAAGGCGAAAAGGACGATGGAGAGAGAACAGGTGTTTCAGAAAAAAAACTAACCCCCGCTTCATCTGCTCTGTTCCTGATGTAGTAGAGCATTCAAAGCAATGTAGAGGCATCTGATTACTTAATTACCACTGCATATGTTTATCCTTGAGTGTCTTAATGGTCTTTTCAGGAAACATGGATATGAAATGGGGCTGTGACCACTCCAGAAAGCTCAGACATAAAACATGTGAAGACTGGGCCCAAAACTTGAAGTTAAATCATGAGTAATTCTAAATAACAAAGGCATTAAAAAACCCTACTAAAATAAAAGAGATCTAAGGGGTTAATATAGTCCTTCCATGTATTTACTATTGGGTATTACTATTTGTGCATAATTGTTCATATTTAATGCAGTTAAAAATTATTAATTTACCCACAAAACAGCTATGTAAACTAGGTACCAGAGAAACCTAGAAAAAAAACTTGTTTTACTTCACAAATTTGGCAGTCTAAGAAAGACAATATGTCCTTGGTTTGTTTCTGATGAAGTGATTTCACCGTATTTCCAAATGAACCTATTCTACTCCAATGGGAAGTGAAACAATGTTTGTTTAAAATGATTTAAAATCACAGACTTTCATTGGAAATCTAATCTGCCAGGCTTCTGAATTCCCACTTTGACTGTGCACAGACCCTACTTTGTCACTCTCGTAAGCTTTTAATTACTTCCCATAATAACGCATCACTAATCAGCAACTACTAAAACACCACTCAGTCTGAATCTAACCTTTTACAACAAAGTAATAACATATTATCCAGATTAAGAACTACTTTGCTTTCCTAGGTAGATCATAATCTCCTTCACTGCTTCCTTTAATTTGTTTTCTGACATGACTGGAAACTATTTGGTTAAAGGAAATGTATCTGCCTTGATTAGATTAGGATTTGGCAGCAAACTCTGCAATAATATAGTCTGCCATATCAGATGACACCAGGGCTTAAAACTTTTCACATTCCTTTAGTTTGTAGCAGAGCTCTGCACAAATTCTCACATCCGAACTTTTAAAATGCCTCATTTTTGCTTTCTGCCTGATGCTGAATGAGTACAAAGAACACCGGCATTTTATTTTGCTGAAAAAACTCAAGTTGCTTCTAGAGTAGAAAAACATTAACTTGGCTTACTTCCATCATGGACGTGTGTGTTGCAATAAAATTCACTTTCTTGAGAGAAGGTACCCAGAGTCCCCATAAAACACAGGAAATTCAGGCATACAAACCAGTAAACTTAACAGACAAAGCTAACAGTAAAAGATGACCAAAAAAAAGGAGAGGATCTAGTATATGTCCCCCCAGAGACAATTAGGGGCTTATTCAGGATTCTCAGCTACTGGCTCTCCTCTAGAACTGCTGTCCCATCAGTCCCTCCTCATAAAAAATAAGACAGAGGATTTCACAGTGTTTCCCAATTTGCAATACTTGGTAACTTAATAGTTAAAGCATTTATTAAGATTAATAAATAAGATTAAGAAAGTACTCACCTCCCTTTGGCATCCAGATCTTACTCTAGCAGGAAATCACACCTTAATGTAACTGATCCTGCCAGATACTTCATTGTTTTCCATTAACAGTGAAAGTGGCAGGCAGTGGCAGTGAAGTTCCATCACAGATCTTCCCAAATGTGTTGAAATGAAAGAGAAAAAAAAGAGGTGTGTTCATCTACACTTGTAAGTATCTTCTGTTGTTATAATTAGTATCCTTTATTTTTAGATGCTACACTTGTAAGAATTTGGTCTACTCTGAACTTTTTAGGAGTTTCTTTTTGTATGCTTATTCCGTATTCCTGCAGTCAAAAAACTTAAATTATTTCACCAAGATCTATATTTTAAAATATCATCCTAATATATATGATGAAATACTATACACAGATAAGTTTCTGGGCATTATTACTCCGTACAGTACAGTGTACTTCTCTGAAATGAGCCTAATTCCAAAAATATTATTAACATAGTGTTTTTTAAAAGCAACCTAGTGGGGGGGGAAAGCCCAAGTGTAGAAGGATTTTACTAGAGATAAGCCAAAGTGTTTGAGGGTTGTCTTCTTATCAGGCTGGACCCAGTGACAGGACTGTGTCCAATGCCATGTGGGACTGCCAATTTTAAGCACAGTATGACAATGCAGCCATGTGTTCAGTCAAGTTTTTGCATTAATCTGGAAAGCAATATCAAATCAGTATTTTGTAGGCTTTTTTCCTTTTTCAAACTAACATTTCCTGGATATAACTGATTTATTGTTCTATTCTGTGAGTTATCATTCAAGATTTCCAAGGGGAAAGGAATGATATTTTTGCCTTCAGGATTGCTGTAAGAAAACACCTGCATTTATAATAAGAAACTTTACTAAACTATGAGAAATTTTATAGAACTATTGTCTAGGGTACAAGTGGAAATATTAAAAGTTATATCCCATCTGAGGCTGAAATGTTTCTCTTTTGCACACATGGAATATGTTCAATATAATTCTCAATGCCTGCAGACTTCCTAAAAGCCTCAGATAAATTTAGTGTCAGAAGAAGAAATTGTGTAGTCACACAGAAGTAATTACTTTCAGTACTAATCCACATTTTAGCCTGAAATCTAGTGAGTATTTTTGTTGCCACCACAGAGAATCTGACATAAACAAAACATCTCAAATTATCCCACAACCTCTAGTTTATTCCATGTACACCTGGAAATCACAGCTGAGCCACAGTGCCTCTGATTTTTGCCAGGGTACTATATTTTAGTAACACTATTACAAAATATTTTGTAATTTCTCGGAACTTTACAAAGGCTAGGGAAGAATGGTGGTACAGGATAACCAGGTCCTCATAATGGTAGTTATCCTTATTTAATTTTTCAGATTTGAGGTAGAAACATGTTATGGGATTTCGACAGATTATTGTATCATTTAAAATAAATATTCTCTGATAAGACACACCTTGCATTTTAGCAATGCCACAAAGGTAATTCAGCCTAGAGGTCTTCACTCTTTCATAGACTGACTGGCTTTTGATCCAGGCAGACACTGAGGTTTTGGTCTAGGCCTTTAACCTCTGAAACAAATTATGCTGTTTACAAGCCTAAGGTTCCTTCAGACTAACTATAGGAAATATGCAACATCTTTCAAAATGATCACAACTGATTTATTACGATTACTATGCTGCACAATGTGAAAAACAGATATTTCTAGAGAAACAAGGTTATTATTTGCTGTGACTGAATTTAAGCCTGAAAGCTTTGACCCATACACAGGACATGCTGTTATTTTGTCTTTTTCATTCAGACCACAACTCTTCCTTCTCTGAGTCAGAAGCAAATACAGTTGGGCATTGCCACACTGATTCTGCCTACATATTTCCGAGTAATCTGCACTTTGTAAAATCTGGCAGTTTGCAAAATATATCATTTTTTATTACTGAAGCCTATGGATAATTTTTCAGGAACAAAGTTCAGTTTCTTTTTTTCTGAATATCATTTACTGAGATTATTCCTTCTTGGTTACCACTAATCGTATGAAAATCTTAGATTCTTAGTCTTTAGAATTATTTTGTGTTGCACTGCCATGAAAATAGATAATCCTGTTATTCTTTATTACATAATATGTATTCATTATATTCCTAACCTGCCTGCTTAAATCTGTACTGTACTAATGTGTTTTCTGGTTTTATACTTCAATTTCTACACCAACAGTATTTTAAAGTCCAAGACTGTTCTTTTTAATATCCACTTGCAACAGCATTACAGCCAGTAAATGAAACGGATTATATTGAATAGGTTCAGAATTCCCATTTTAGCTACATCCATGGGACACAATTTTAAGAATCTGTCTGTGGCCACGACAGAACAGGACATCCTGTAAATGTTTATGGTTATCATTTAAGTGTCTAAGTTTGATTTCTCCATTAAATACCATTGGCTTTCTCTTCTCTTTATAAAGGAGCCCTGCTTCACAGGGAATAGAAAAACAGCAAAACAAAGCAGGACACTAAATTCATCTCAGGGTTGTGCTGACATCAGAAACCACTCAATCTTTGCTCAAGAGACTCTTCATGTATTTATAACCCTGTAATTTACAGTTTCCTTCCATTTACTCTCTACATGGGTGACCTACTGAATGAATGCACAACAGCCAATATGGATCCCTTGTATGCTGACAAGGAGCTGCCTATGCTAGCACCCACACTCCAGTCAGGTTTGAGAATGTCCTGGACAAAAACATTTGTCATGTAGCAAAAACTACAGGAGCTGCCTGCTAAATACTACCAATAAAAACAAAACTATTGAAAAGCAAGGGGACCCCTGCTGGTCTAGTGGTTAGGATGCTGCACTCTCACCACTGCAGCCCAGGTTCGATTCCCAGTCAGGGAAACTCCCCCGGGCAGATGGAGCTCGTCAGCCCTGTAAGGCCATCCATCTAAGAGAAGGTCACTCTAAACAAACCTACGTCCTGAGGACCTCACTGCCACAGTCCAAGCTTGCTCAGCCCCAGATGAACCTTAGGATTAAAGGGTGGGCTCAGCTCAGCGCACACTGTGTCTCACCTAAAAAATCCACTGCGCAGGCTCGAAGGATAAAGACCTTTCCCAAATCTTTGTTTGCGAAGACTGGCCATACACATATTGAAAAGTGAGGCTGACAAGATACAAGTAACTTGAGAGTCACCTCAGAGATGAGAAGAACATTTGGTTTGTGCACAAACAATACTGGTTTTCTTTATTAATTTATTTCTCTCACATAAAAATAGAATAATTTTCTAATCTTATTTATAAAAGAGTTCAGTATTATTTATGTTGAATAAAAGCTTGTTATTAAATGGGCTTGACAGAACAGTTTCTCTTAACACCTCTTCAGAGGTAAACTGGGGCTTATAACAGGAATAAATTAAATGCCACTGGACTGTTTTTGTAATTTGTTAGGAATAAGATTTTTCTAGATTGTTCACTATATTAAAACACTGCTTAGTTAAAATAATCCCACTCCTCTCCATTGCAATCAGCCCTTCTGCTTCAAAGCTAGCTTAGTTCCTTGTGTTTCTAGCTGTATCCAGGTGCTCTTTGAAAGGCACAAAGTTACCCACAAAAAAGACTACTAAAGCATTATGATAAGGTGTGTCCCGGTGCCAGAATTCAGGTTCTGAAAATCCTGTGCCAAGAAAGGAGCTACAGGGCAATTTTTCAAAAAGATTTTTTATATTTTTTTAAATTGTAGTTTTTGTGGTGTGAAGAATGAAGTAGCATTCACTATAAGTGGGAATTGGGATGACTGAGCCTACACCACTCTTGATGTGTGCCCTGAATCAAGTCACTGCTCTTTGCTACACTTCCTTCAACTGTAAAATGAGCATATTATGCTACCGTCCTCAGAGCAGGGATGCAAAAATAACCAGTTATGTAAACACGCAAAACATTTTGTGATCCTAAACTACACACTTCTAAAATGAGAAGGGTGACATGACTGGCAGTCTTTGCTATATGGATTTTTTTTTACTACAGTAAAATTAAGAAACTGTATAGAAATTACAAGAACTGAAAATCACCTGTTGTTTAATCTTTCACCAAACAGTTGTCAGTTATCAATTTCTGAAGGCAGGATTATGGGAGAATAAACAGTTCTTAGGACTGGGCGGGTACCCAAAAGTCTTACAGTTTTGTCAAAAGATTAATTCAAGGGAAGACTAGAACCATACAGGACCAAACACACCACTTGGTACTGCCTCCAAACTGCAATAATTAAGAACCAGTTTATGACTCATCTGTGCTATGCTGTCTCTTCAGTCTGTGCTTTGCTCATAAACAGATGGACTGTAAATATTCTTGAAACAAATTTTTCAAAACTAACTTCTAACCTCATAACAAAACATTCAGCTCTGTGAAAATATAATTGAAACAGATCCCTGGGAATATGGAACATAACATCATAAACCCTGACTAGACTTCTTAAAAATTATTTTAGAATTTGAAAGACACTACTAAATGACATAATGGTTTTGTAATATGGTTTTTGCATAACAGTTTTGCAATGACATTTCACAATCCTTACTAAATTGGGCTCTATTGTGCACAGCAGAAGATACAAAAGATTAGGAGTGCTCGGTTTAGAAAAGATGAAAGAAAATCCGGCCAAAGAAATATAAATGGTATATTTTATATTTATTCATAAGGGAAGAACAAATCAACAATCATAATTATGACAGACTAACATATGCCTAGAATGTTTGTGCTGACCTGTAAACTCAATTCTGTGACCACTATTTTGTCTGAAAAGCTTCTAAATTTGTTTGTTCTTTCCTTTTGCATTTTTCCACTTTGAATTAAATACACATCAAATGGTGAAGTCTTTCCATGCAGCAAGAACTACAAGAAATATGCCTAAAAATGGCAATTCTAATAATTTGGTTATGTTCACCCTAGAAAAAGAGGGTGCCTGCAACCCCACCAGGTTGCAGAAAACTGCTTTGCCTTGTTTGCAGTTGCTGGGAAAGGGCAGAGTTGAGGTAGGCAATGGATCTCATAACTTCTGGAACCGCTAGAGACGTTTGAAAGAGAAACTAGAACAGGACAGATTTTTTCCATACTGATGTGTCTGTAACAACCTATCAGCTGAGTACAGGATTGAGGATGTTCTGCAAAACCTGCTAATGGGCTTTGTAAATATTGTGAACTCTGACAGAAGTGTATGGTATGCAGGTATTCATCAATCTTGTTTTGTTTAGCTAAAAAACTATAGCTGATTTGGAAATAATTTTCTAAATTTGTAAATTCCACAGTTTTATTTGTAATCTCCTCATTGAGGGTGTTTATTGATCTGTCACATCACAGGACATGGTAAAATGCAGGGCCATGATTAACAGAAGAATGCTGCAGTATTAATACTGCTCAGACAAAAAGCATGGAAGCTGGTAGGGTTAAAAAGTGGGCTCTACTATGGCCTCAAGAAAGGTACACCACCTTTAGAGTTCTTTTCCTATCTCTAGTAAAGAGCTCAGAACAAATCAGAAATACATTATATTTATTCTTTGTCTTCTCATGAAGAATAATAATTCACTAGAGGAAAATAGTTTCCTATATATTTAATGGAACGAACAAAACCAAAATAATTTACTGGATGCCTCTGGAAAGATTTGTAGCTACTGTAATGTACTAAGAAGCGTAATCTTTTTGGTTCTGGTAAATGATATAGTCATAACTGACACATGAATAATGAAATCCTAACACTGGCAAATGCAAGTAAAATAAAATAACCAAGTGATCCTCTGGTTGTACTCAGAGGAAGTAGAGGACAAAGGCAGTGTTATAACAACAGCTTTTGCGGACTGATCAAGCACACAGTAGGGAAACCTATGTTGTGCTCCAACTAAAATATGCTGAGACACAGCTTACAGAGAAAGGAGAGCTAGGAGTTCATTCAGTGGTTCTATATCACCCAGCTCTATACCCTTACAGAAGAAAGTGAATTCATAAGATACCAGCCAACTTCATAAAGTGAGAACCATGCAAAAAACTGCTAGAGTGGGTTCCAGAGATGAGTTGAATGTTTCCTGCATTCATTTTCCAAAGCCATCTCATTTTAACTTAAAGTTCCATGAAGGCCCTATGTTTTCAGGTCTGGGGAGTACTCAGGCTAACAAAGAAGGTATATATTTATTGCGGCCCTAGTTAAAAACAAACAAACAAAAGAAAACCAAACCTGAAAGCAGAGTTTCTGTAGCAGATCGAGTTGCATTATATCCACAACACATTGACATTATCTATTTAATAATAATCATTGCAGCAAGAAGGAATTGTAATATTCTAATTCAAAACTCTATTACTAAAACCAGATATCTTGTTGGAGAGAAACTGCTAGAGTTTACAACCATAGCAACCTCAGTAGTGGCAATTCTAGACCAAAAATAATGAAGATTTGAAATGTATAAAACACTGGAAAGAATTATAAAGGCAACTGTTGTACCACAGCAGGCAATAGGTACTACGTGGTTGTTTTAACAAGCACAAAGTACCTGCCATGACAGTATCTTACACACACTTCTGCAACTTTCTAGGGTAAAATTTATTTATAAAGATAGAAAAATAAAGCTCTTAATTTTTTTAAAAGCACTAGATTTAGGCTGGTGTTACAAAAGTCATTCTCTCTTTATGCCTTTTTATGCCTCCACAACCTACGCACTAACTGAAGCAGGGCTGGACAAATTATAGGCTATCATGTAATTGTAAGCTATATCATAATGTATTCACTCTAGAAGGCAAAATTAAAGATACGTTTACTTTCATGGGAAGAAAAAAGGTAGTAATGATGGTGAACATTTTAGAAGCCTTTATTTGCCAAGAACAGAGAATTAAAAGGCTTTTAGCAAATGGGCTTTTTCTAACTGGTAAAAGTATTCCACTGATATTCTCTACAGTTACAACTTCAGCACTGGTAGCAATAATGGAAATGATGTTAGAATTAGGGCTCAAGGCACTGAGGCTCAAATTGCTGTCATCATCAAGGGGAAATGCTATATCTAATGATAGATTCTCAAACAATCAGCTGGCCTGATTTAGTCTGATGATCCATCAAGATTCAGTACTGAACTTAAGCAGGATTTTCTGGAAATAGTCTGTATAGAAATTCTTAATGTGACTTCTGGTACACACTGTTCAGATCTTGTCCTCTTTACATTCAGTTTTTTAGTGACTTTTTGTAGTATCTCATGCCATTTAACAAAAACACATACTTAATAATTAGAAGATGTAACTTCACAGAGGTTTGCTTTAGTATGAACACACACATGAGATCTAAGAGGATGATTCACAAGAGTTAGCCTAGCATTCACAATGACCTCAGTTGTCTCAGGTTCAGAATGAAAATAAACTAAAACTTTTCACTCAGAAGGTTTCTGTTCCTCACTCTAGGAGGTAATTAATTTAAATACAAACAAATAATCATCAGCTTTTATCTTGTCCCTGTTGCTGGAACAACAAATCAATTCCCAGTATTACTCAAAGGGTACTTTAGAGATATAGATCTTCTTATCAGCAAAGGCTGGGAGTATTCCAGTTGTACATTTCAGTTCACGTTTATTTCCAGTAATAACATTAACTACACTACTTAATAAGCTAAATTGTACAAAATTGAAATTTACCCTCAAAAATATGCAATTCCCATATGCAGCCACTGGATGGACTTACAGAGCCAGTGAAACTTTCTGATTGTAGACAAGATGCACAATTAGGTGAGCAACTGGGAAGAAATTTTCCTTCTGGGCAGTAGGAGAAGCTTTCTGTAAAAAAAGGTTTGAGCCTAAAAAGCAAGGTACAAGAAGGGATTTTAGCTTCTCTTAAATCGAGTCCTTATTTTTCAATACAATTAGTTTAAGAACAAATAGATTGCTGAAATGAACCAGAGTGATAAGAAAATTAGTTTGTAGAACACACAGATCAGTTCCAAATGTGATTATTTGGCATTAGGGTTTTAGGGTAAGAGCACTAAAAATTGTACTGAAAAGAAGCTAGGGGGTTTTTGATAGCTCATTTGCAAACAGAAGCAGATCACAGTTATTTAAAGTTCTGCTTATTTAAACTTATGCTACTTTAAAATGACCATATTCTTTAAGAATAAGTTAGAACAGTATTTGCTTAAGCTCCCTTACCTTTTCATAGAATAGGAACCTACTACTCTGCATAGTAAGTGTAAAACAAGCCCTGCATTAAACAAGAGTATGATCATCCATGAATATAAAAATTTATTACAGCTGGCTGTTGCAATCACTTCTCAGTATTTTGTGTGGATTATATTTAACTATATTACAATTTATTTAATGTACTTCTTTAGACCAGTTACTATTTCACTGTATCATGGCTGGGCTTCGCGAATGAAGATTTGGGGAAGGCTCTACCCACATTTGTCACAAGCGCGCTAGTGGCTAAAAAGGCCAACACAAGACAGGCACATCTGGTGAAGAATCGTTAGGGTTCTCCTTCAAGAAGAACAAGGACTGGTTTGATGAAAACAATCAAGAGATCCAGGAATTGTTGAGGAAGAAGAGAACTGCTCACCAAGCACATTACACTGTATACAAAAGTGATAAAATACATATGTGATTCACTGTGTTTTGATGTTGTATAGATAAGAGTAGTGGTAGGTATCAGTTGTAGCAGGAAAAGTCAGTAAATTTATCTCAAAGAAAGTAAATAGGGTTGCTGTGGGGAGAACCAGGTGAAGTTGGGGAACGAAAGTATAGATGTATAAGCCTAGGAGAATGAAGAGCTGTCGCATGGATCTCACCATACCTGCTGTTCTCAATCAGTGACAGTGACAGGCACGGTCCCTTCACTCCCCCTCTGCAGGTACACTCAGTTACAGAATCTAAATGTGGGTCATGTGATTTTGTCACTGGGTCAGTCTGCCCTCACAATTTAGAATGGCACCAAACCTAGCTATAGTTGAGGCTACTCTGCATGCCTGGATTTCTTTTGTCTTTGTAGTGTGAAGGTCATATGCAGAGTCTGTGTAGTGAGTGAATGTCCTCTGACTCTTTATGTAATTGCATGGGATGGTCTTACTGGCTACCTATTATAGCCAGGATGAAGGAGAAACAGTGAGAAAAAAGCCTGTGAGCAGGGAAGGAAGGCTGTGTCAAGTTCAGTGCTTCCGTCTATTGCTTTCAGTCCTCTTCTGAAACAAATCATGGGACTACAAGACGATTCTCAGCTAACAACCCCTTTCCCAGCCTAATTCACTTCTGAACTGTGTGTAACAGTAACTCTGTGGATAAAAACAACACCTGCAGAAAAATCATTCTGGATCTCACTGATATTTTGCTGCTTTCCACCGTATACTTTAAATTTCTGATATTTTTTAGAAAAGCAAACAAAGCCTCTCATAAGGCCCAAAGAAATTAACTGAGTAGCCACATTTAAAGTTATGCATGCATTTTAACACCATTCTAAATCAGGAGCTGATATCCATGAATTAATTGCCTGCAATGATCACACAGACCATAGAACAGGATGGAATGACACCTCACAATAATCATGGTGCCCATCATGGGACACGAAATGCATGCGATGTGTCTCTGGCACGCCAGGACTGAATCCCACATGCTGTCCTGACCTCAGATGGGGAAATACCATCTGGCATAGAAGCCCCACAGTTGGCACTGCAGACTGCAGGCTCCAGGCTCCTCTCTCTCCCTCCCCACTTCTCATCCTACCCGTCTGACAATTACAGAAACAGCAATCCTGCAGGAATGAAGTCGAGCTACAAGAATATTGAATGACTGAGTCAGAGACTAGGAATGAAGCTGGCAACTTCAGAGGCTGCTTTTCATATACCATTGCCTAAAAGGAAAACTGTGACAAATCAGGTTCTCCTGTACCACTCACTAGAAAATGAGATCCCTTCCCTGTTCTTCCCACTACATGCAGCATCATGTCACAGGTGTGCACTTCCCTGCTAAAATCCTCCCAGAAAACACTACACCTCAGGTAAGAATGCTTCCCCCTGCAAAGCCCCTGAGCACAACTTGCTATTCTTGGCTTGTTCTGACCTCCTTTAATTTCCTGACGTTGTTCTGGAACTAGGTGTTGGTCACACCAGACCAGCCAAGCAGCAATCTTCTCATACCAGTGCTGATTTAGAAAGCCTTTGTTAAGCTCCGACACTGGGAATCTTTTACCACACAGAGATTAAGTCACAGACTTCCTTCCAGGGTAGGTGGCACCAGGAGCTGTCAGCTTCAAGATAGGACAGTAAACTGGGTGGGGTAGCACCCTAATATTACATAGGGCAACATAGACAGAGCCAATGGAATTACTAGTACCAATACTCTAATCATCTATAAAAGCAAATCAAGTGAATCATCTCCATATAATGATGGACTGCCTCACATGAATTAGATTTTTAAAGTGCTTCTAAATTACATGTTACAATTCAAGTTGCTTAGAGACATAAGCTCCATTTGGGAGTGGTCCTCCTTCAGACCAATTTCATATTCTAGATGAACTACTGAATACCAAACTGTTTATTCCTAGAAACAGAATATTTGTCTATAGTTTTAAAACCAAATAATTGCAGAATAACACCATTATTCTGCTGCTGTGACAAATTTTTCAAACTAGATAGGAAATATGAAGTAAATATCTATACCTATAATGCTGCTTTTAAATAGAGCTCTGCCAAGCAATTAGATCCACAAATGACAAAGCTGATGCAAAGCTCTGAATCTTTTTACTCACAGATTGTTTGGTAAATTGCTTTATTTGCATTGGATGCACCACTAAAATCATTCAAACTGGTAACCAATCTGTTCCTGTTACTGTACACCTGAAAGCGTTACAGCAAATCTGTCTTATTACAGCCAAATGACAAATACCAGGAAAACTGTTGCCAAGACTGCCTGATTTGTCTGTATTGAGGCCTGTGGATCCCACCTGCTCTGTGCAATGCCACTGTGTATATTATGTTGCAGCACAGGCTAAGCACAGCTTGGAACACTGACAGGCAACATACGACTTCCAATATGAATTCCCCTCACTTAATTAACATCATGTATGTTCTTTGACACACGATAAATTATATTTTTAAAATTTAGAAATTTAGCTTTGATTTCTTTTTGGCCATTCATGTGTGCCATTCTGAAGAAGTAACAAGATTATAGTACTCACAGTGCTCAAGCCTGACATTTGAAATGTCTAAACCTCACACCAAATTATTTTCTGCATATCCAAAGTGCTTACATATCCTCATGCTGATGGTGTTTCTTATCTCCTGACATTTCAGTGTTCATTTCAGATTAGCTTTTTAAAGGCATAAAGACTACAAGGACATGTTTCTGTGTGTTCTGTAACATATTTCTATTCAGTTCAGAGTTTTATTTCTGATACCATACACATAGCCTTTGCTTCCTGAAAGCAAATAGCCACGCAAATGTGAAGGAAGAAAAAATCTGAAAGGAAATATAGTAATTTGCAACTCTTGAACAGATGAAAACATTGATAAATCATCTATCTTGGGGAACACCTGCTTTTATTTATGCATAATCAAATTCCAAAGCCAAAAGTTGGTAACAACAGATCTCTCTCCCCACTAGCAAATGTGTATCCAGAGGTGACCAGTGACGTTCACAGGCACATGCAATGAAGCAGGTCATGATCCAGGGTAACCCTACCTTTATTTTACTGGTCTCAGTACTTTAAGAGTCCTTGCCCTGTGTCCCAGCTATCCGTGCCTGACTTTGATCCACAATGCTTTACAATGAGGTATGTCTTTTTATTAATTGGTTCTTTATTTAAACCTATGAAAATGAGATGTGAAAGTGTGTTGCAAGTGTCCTTTCCCCTCAGAAATGTGAGTCTCACAGCACTTGCTAATGTGCAGATTACATGCTGTAAATCCACCATCATTAGCTGTTCAATCCAATCCCAATGAGGGAACAGATTCCTTGAAAAGGAGTGAGCAGGACAATGCAGGGTATTAATTTTATGTATCAATATGCACTGGTATCTACCAATATGCATTCTAACTTCATGCACCATTATGCATTTCCTTATCTGTGATTCAGAGCCTCTGGATGAGCTCAGAGCTAATGGTGACTGAAAATCAGTGGAATAGTCTTTATAGGCCCACTTGAGACAAATACTGATGGAAATGGAGGCCACAATTACATAGTGAAGATGTACATTCATGTGTGTTGTAATTAAAGAGGAATAAAGTGGTCTAGCACAAAACTCACAGTACGAACAGAATGGAGAAGTGTAATGTGACCTTTCTTATAAGATATTGTTCTTGCATTAAGGAGATGAGTGATTTCTAAATATAGCCGTGTTTTGTAGCAAGACTACTTAACTGGAGTGACAATGCTATTTCATCTAAATATAGAGCAATGGTTCTCCCTCAAAATACCTAAAGCCTGTACCTGTGGTTTCACAAGCACCTGAAGGCAATCTTAAGTTTGCACAGTCATGGAAAGCAGCTGTCCTCTCCTCTCCTCCCTCTCTGTCTGTAAGGATCTGCTCTTCCCTTGCCAGGCACTAATGCTGTAACACACCACGCCATCACACAGATGTTCCCTGACATCTGGCCAGCTCAGAGAACACTCAAACTCAGGGACCATTTGTACAGAGATAGAATTTAGGTTTGATATGAATGAGGTTTGAGTGAGTCTGGAATTCAGAAATCCATTTTCATGCTTAAGTTCCTAACACAGTGCATGCTGCACACCTCAAAATGAAATTCAAAGCAACTAGTGAGCTGATCAGGAAGTTACTTGAAGCCACTGTCTTGTCTTAAGAAGTACTTCCCTACAGAGGGAATTGCCAGTGCTCTGTTCCATCTACTTGTGTGTCACCCTGCAGAATTTGCAGAAGGAAGTCAGGACAGGTCATTGTCCTCTGCTTGAGTGACCTAACAGGGAAGAACAACAAGGTGATAGTGCTCTGATTTACAAAATGGTATTAATCCTTGGTCAGAGGTAGGAAATTTGGCCTAATTCCTTCCTTGGCCAAATCAGCTAAATGCAGACCTCTCTGAGGTGTGCTCTGATCATTAGGGTAACATTTTGCTCTTGGATGAGGGCTGCAGTAAAGGTCAGGCACTTGTGGTACTTGAAGTTGTGCCACTTGAAGAGAAAAGGGAAAACCAGGCTCATTGGGCAAGACGGGAAACATGACACTAATCCTTTAATCTAAAAAGAAACAAAGAAGGAACTCATCTTCATGACATGATGACCAACTGTAAGCATGGGAAACACAGCTCTAGAGCTGAACTAGGGAAGAAAGTAGCTTTATTACATCTGAGCTACTTTCAATAAAAATAAATAAATAAATAAAAAAACAAAACAAAACAAAACAAAACAAAAATACCAACCCCAAATTTGTCTTATAAAATCTTAAGAGTCCGATCTTTTTTCACGCACTCAGGTGGAACCTGCATGTTTCTTATTAATTTAGTTTACTTTATCCAGTATTATAATTACTAATTTAATGTAATTTAATTACATTAATTTACTTTATCAAGCCTACAGTTCCTACTGCAAGATAGCACTCACACAGCAGCCCCTACTTTCATCTCTGCAAAGTTATGTGAATAATGACAGGTATTTCTAAAATGTAGCTTATATTCTTCACAAAAATTGGATTTGTTACCTGGTGTGCAACAAGCCAATAATTACACATTTGAGAGAGACATTGATTATTTCAGAGTTGAACAAGCCTGGGTGCTCAGTGGTATTCCACAAACCAAGCACACCAACTATCAAAACTCTTTACTACTTATGCACTTTAGCAAACAAAGGAATTAGTGTTTATTGGCTACAAGTTACCTAGTTCTCTATTAATTAGTATTCTATCTTCTATTGGTTAATGATTCTCTCACTTCTCATGCTAATTAGTCTGCACATTCAGTCTTAAGTCAGTAGGTTTCTTGAGTCAATGGTCACCATCTCCCCCTGCCAGAATTACCTTTTCCCCAACTGGAGCTGATTTCAGCACAATTGCTGAGTTGGCTTTATTAGTTTCTTCCTTATCTGTCAGACGTCCTTGTGGTCCATAAATTCTGCATTCTTTGTGTCCACTGTCAGTGAGCATTCTTCTTCCCAAACTTTGTTAACCTTTCCCTAGGTCTGAGATCACTGAAGCACATTCAGCCCTAAACCTTAACAAGGCAATTCTACCAACAAGTAATTTGCTTTCTAACACCTGGACATCACTTAGAGATTGTTAGCTACTGTTTCATGGACTAAATCTCCTCCTTTCTGATTGTTTAGCCTTGAAAGTATACAAGGATCAAACATCAAAGAACATCCTTTCTTAAGAAAATTTTACATATTTCACATTTTTCAGCAATCTGACTGTATTTTCACTGTCTCAACCAGAAGGCCTCCAGGTCAGATAGCAGAGATGCACTGCCATAGCACCAGCTGTCAGACTTTTGAAAAGGTACAGACATCACCACTCCTATTTTTGAGTTCCTCTTCCCTGAATAGCACAAAAGAGTGATGAGGCTAGAGTGCAATTTCTGCTTCTTTCCCTTCTTTTGGGCTGTAATGATTGCCTTTCATTTTTAAGATGCTTCAAACTGTAAAGACCAAGGAAAATAGATTTGCTGTTATAAAGACTGTAAACAAGGAGACTGTTTGAAAACCTGTGTCATGGGCCTTCTGACATCTTTCCACAGACATCATGCACAGAATTTTCATACTCAGCCTTTAAATCAGACAAAGCCACCTGAAGACTATTTCAGAATGGACAGTCCTGCTAAACCAGTATCACTGCTGCTCTTTTCCTAAGAGCCTTCCTATGAGTTGCCAGTCAGGTCACCCAAATTTTCAGTTCAAAGAGCAGGAGAATCAGCTACCATGCCCTCTGATTTCCACAGGAGCTCTCACACCAAGGCAGAACATCTCACTTAGATGAATTTCCGAGTGCAAATCAATAGAGAGGATACAGAAGAAAAGATCAAGTATTACCCACAAACTCTGCTGATCACCAGCTTTGTCTTGAAAAGACAATCATAAACTGCCCATTCTAGTTAATGTCTGCATTCAGTAATAGAGCTTTGTTTCCTTTTTTCCTGGGTAATGAAGAGGAGTTGCAATGTTATTTCTAACCCACTTTCACAACATGGAGTAAGAAGGTATTTAAACAGGGATTCGAGGCTATATCAGCTGCTATTTGAAGCAGTTTATAAAGAAGGAATTGCAGCTGCAATAACGAGGTAATATCTGTATTCCTGGCTGTAAAATGTCTGGAATTCAATCATATTTGAACTTTGCAAAATGTCTGCATATGTGCGTCAGTTCACAAGGCAGGACACTGCAAGTTGTTCATCATATGTAAGAGACGTTTTACAAGTGTAAGTGAAAGAAATAGAGTCCTGATGGTGACCAGGTGGCTACTGGTTGCTGGGAAATGCTGGCTGAGCATGTCAGGACACAGGGAAGTGTTTTTTTAAATAATCGGTTTTAGCTGAGCAGGAGGAAGGAAAGGGAGCTATTTGCTTCTGAATCTGCTGCTCTAGCAAGAGTCTCATTCTGCTTGTGCACTTTTAACTGTTACCTACTTCAGAGTAGAGAAAGAGGAGATATAATCAGCTATAGATGGGGCTCCTGCAGTTCAGAAATCTGATATTGCCTGCAGCACAGCTGGAGGCATAGAAAATTTAGCTGAGATGTGAGATTTTACGATTGTACTAGCAAATATAGAAGTACCACTGAAAACACACATTACACATATAGGCTGGAATGGAACTACTCACAGCTGATTATAGGAGCAGCAGAAGGGAGGAGCACAGGTACGAATTACAACAAACACAGCTATACTGATGTGTAGAGGACTGCATCTTGTCCGACCAGCAGATGATTATTCCCCTTCCTCATCTCATTTTGTACAGAGGGAGAAACAGAGTGTAGGTACCCCTGCTGACATATCTCCAACTAGGCTTCTTCTGATAGCAGAAATAGAATTCCTGATTTCTCATAGGCAAGAAAAATTTTTACACATTCTTGCACTGAACAACCTTTTTATAAAAAATATGTATTTATTAAATCAAAATAAGAGAATGCATGGGTACCACAAAGAAAGAATTTAATTTAAGAACTCTAGCTGTGCTTCAGTCTAAGATTAACTATAAAAAACTTCTAGGATCCTATAAAAGGAACAGAACTTTTTTTTTAATACCAGATCAAATTTTCTTTCTTAATAATTCTTTTCCTTAAGAGAAGACGTTTTTTTCAATTCTTCTCATATGTGCAGCCTTTAATTAGTCTGTTGGGTAAAAGCAGTATTAGCTAGACTCTGCCACAATAACCCATATTTGGTAGCTAATTACTCCTTGAATAGTCTTAAGGCTACCAGCAATTTCAGTACAATTGGCAGCCTGGGGCCCCCAGGACCTGTTCCAGCATCCAAGAATAGCTGGAAGAGGGACACAGGCAAGCCGTGACCCTTTCTCCTCAGCCACAACCTAACATGTCTACTATGCCAAAGGCAAGAGCAACACTGAAATGAAAATATTCCCAAGTGGCTAAATGTGCTCTCTTTATGGCCTTTTTAAACTAATGAAGTAGCATAAAGGGACTATAGGGAAATGGAAAATAGGACCTTTTAAATGCTAAAGCAGTGGCAGGACTACTAATCATTTTTTCAATTTTGCAATGCTCTATTAAAACAACAGTACAAAACACTTATATGGGATCAAATCTGACACAAGACTTTTATTCTAGTATAATTTTATCCACTTATGCCTCATATTGCAGCAATTTACATCACTGCAATATGGGTGTCAAGTCAGTATAAAATGCTGACTTGCTTTAGTAGCATTTCATAGGTATTTTACACAGGTAGAAATTACTTCACGAGGGACACAGCAGTATCTGTGATTTCAGTAAAATGATTCCTGCTGTCGCTTGTGTGACATCAGTGGCAAACTAAAATTAACATAAAAATTTAAATAAGAACTTCAAGTTTAAATACACTGTTAATTCAGATTCTATTCCACAACTCCAAAGCTCTGCAAATTCAGCAGTACTTCTGCTTGTAAAGAGCAAGGAATTCCTTCTAAAAAACTTCAAAAGTTTATGAGGGATCCCTTTCTACTACATTCTTTTAACTTAATCTTTAGCTTATCACTGCTGTTGAGCAAACTGATACAAGTATAGCTATGAAAGTGCCAGCATTGTTGATGCTGACTGTGAGATGGACACTGGACTCTGGACAACAGTGATATCTTAGCTCAGGTCTTAGCAGCAGCACCACGAGGCTGTAGGTTTGAAGAGAAGTTGCCTTTGGAAGTGGTATTGATTTACAGTACTTCCTGCAATTTTTTCTTCCTTCCTGCCTGTTTCTTCCTTCCCTCCTTGTTCTCTTAAGAGCCATATGACTCTTATCAACACAACTGTCTAAAAGGCCACCCTATGAATCAGGCCATGGGAATTAAATAGGTATTGAAGAAAAAATTCTGCAAAAAAAGCTTTGCTAGGCAGTTTAACCTGAATCAGTCTCATGATTCTGTTCCCAAACACACACATATACAGTCATTTTGGCACAGCTGAAACAGAGTCAGGAACAAGCAGCTTACAGTTGAGGTGAGTCCTGAGAATGCCTCAAAACAGGCTGCTGCTGGCAAAAGTGTGCATGGAACAATACATTTATTGTGTCCCTTGCTTACCTGCATGTGCATCAGCCTGTTCCAGGGCTATGGTCCATGACTTTAAGTACTGCAGTAATTTAGGGCACCAGTAATCCTTTCCCAGTGTTTGTGAGGGAATTTGCCTGCCCTTCTGAGAGCAGAGTGGGGATTGAAGAAACAGCAGTGTTCTTAGCACCTGATTGCAAATCACCAGCCTAAAGGAAAACAAAAGTAAGACATGCTAAATTTGGGTTCCACTGAAGTACAAACCTTGACCCTCTTGACTACCTATAGCAAAAGGTACTGTTCAGCTCAGTTCCTCTCAGTGGGAGTTATACTGAGATCATGTCCAAAGAACTGAAAAAAATCCTCTCTGGCTTTAAGATCCAGAAGGATTCCAAGCTAACTGCATGTCCTGACTCAAGATTTCCTGCCAGTTGTGCTCCCCTAACATCAGAGTCCAAGACTTGAAGAATAAACAAGTGCAGCAGATTCTGAAGAAGAGCCAAAATTATCTCCTAAAATGGCCTTGGTCATGGATCGGATAGTGGGACAGATGGACTGTAGGACAGACAGAAAGCTGTTGTGAAGAAAAAAAAAAGATCAAAATAAAGGTAGTCCAACACAGGAGTAGATTGTCCAAGGGTACCTCTTGACTCTTCATCCTTGGAGATATTCAGAACTCATCAGGACAATGCCCTGATCAATCTGATCTAAAGTGACCCTGCTTTGATCTGAGATTGATCAAGTGACCTCTAGGATCCCTTCAAAGTAAATTATTCTGCTATTCTGTGACCAAAGAGTGTCATGTGTAGGACTGATGAGGCTCCAAGGATTTAAACTGGGTAATGCTCAGGAAAAATCTGAAATAGCAGTCAAATAAAGCAAACTCTCTTTATCACTTATCGATTCTCCCAAGCCCTTTTTTCTTTCTCTCTTAAGGTCACAAAAAAATTCTTTTTTTTAATTCCCCATGAAAACATGACATGCAAGCACTTGATAACACAGGTAGTTTGGAGGACCTCAGAGTCTAGAAGCAATACCTGAAAGGTGAATAGTTACTGTTCAACTTTCAATTTTAACAGTAGCAAAGGTTTTCATCTTGAGTTTTGAGTCTCCTTCCAGATAGTGAAGATCATATGTCTTTTCTCACCTCTTAATTCAAATGCTCTGGAAATTAAGGAGATGTCCATAGTTCTGAAACTGTTAGTACTTGTGTCAGAGCAGTGAGAGAAATGAGGGCTTGTTTGAGGCACAGGAAATGCTCTCACTCTTTCTTATTATCACTTAGTATAGAGACCAGGTGAAACCTTGACACAGGGAAAGCAAGGCCTTAACTAAGTGCAATTCAGGAAACACTGAGAGGGATAGGGATAGGTAAAAGGCCTTAATTTATGTTTCCAAAATGAAAAAGAAATAAAATAAATCCTTATATACATTAACAATATTATACTAATGTTCTGTAAGGCTGGAAGGCCTTAGAGACCTACTTAGGAAATCAGAAAGTGGTTTTGTCTTGCATCAGAGGCTTTCCAAGCATTTTCATTTTGAGGAATTTCTTTTTCTATCATATGTGGACAAATCCTAAGTTACGTGTGTAAGTATTACTGCTGTACAATGAGATTTAACCACATTGGGAGTTAACATATATTATAATCATATACAATTCATAATAATTGTATATAATTATAAATTGTGTAAAATGTTTCTGTCCATATTGCCTTAGTAGTGCAATGTGAGAGTTGTAGGGTTTTTAAAGATTTATATCTAAAAAAGTTTAATTAGATTTTTACTGAATAAAAAAATACATTGGTAAGGTTTTATAGACATTATTGTATAACCATGAATTATTTCTTGTGTGATCAAAATGTTCTTACTCATATGTGTTGTGATTATAGGGCATGTTCTCTGGAGGTTGATATGACTGGCATGGGAGCATAAGGAATGATGGCTAGTTCACTGCAGAAACTACCAACATATAAAGCTGTGGTTTCCTGACTTACTACTGGGAAAGATACTGTCATTTGGAGCATGTAAGGATGACAGTAACTTAAACAGAGGTAAGCAGCATTTCCAAGAGCTAAACCACAACACAAAACCTCTACACATGACATGTTCAGAGTTCCAAACTACAGCAATGAAAATAAATAAATACTATGTGTACACAACATCATAATTACACCAATATGTTACAATGGCAAGAGAAATAGTTTTTAATAAATTCTTCTACAGTGCAACTTACAGCCAGAGTATTTCTTTGACAGAAGGCTGGACAGCAATAGGGATGTTGGGAGGAAGGGAAGCAGGAAGGACTACATCCATTCCTGAGAAATCAAGTCTCTGCATACCAAAGATCCCTTGGTATATTCCTCAGTCACACCCCACTAACTATTCCCTTCCACATTGTCCATGTCCAAAACAGCAAAATAATTTGTCAATGTCTTTCTAAAATATCCTGCCTTAGTCTGAATTCTGATAAAGGCCCAGCACATGAGTTTTCTTTTTGATTATCTTCACATCTTTTGCTCATGAGGGCCTGTGAACCAGCTCAATTCACAAGTGCCCTCGAAAGTTTGAATTCTAGTCTTCCTTGTACTTTTTTGTCTTTTCCATGCAAAGAGCAAGAACACTTAGGACCTCAGCAGAGCATTTACGGGAAGGACACGGGAGAGCTATAGGAAAATGCTGACTCCTAGGGCATGGTATTACAAAAAATTTGCCATTATTTTATAAGACACTTGATCAGGAGAAATCACATGCATCGTTTTGTTGGGTTTTTTTCACATGACTCTCATTCCCATCTGGTTTACCACAAATTAACAGGCCCTATCATTCAATGAGATTGGATCCTCCTCGGAGTATGTGGGGCAGCCATATAAATAGTCTTCAGTAGTTTCTTTGCTTTAGGATTTTTGGTCAGTCCCGAGTTTCTGAGACCCATAACAGCCTAAGAAAGTGCCTCTATAATGTCTGCCACTAGGTAGCTGGACTCATTCCATCCCAAGCGCACTGAAATCACACACTGGACGGCAGATGTTTCTCTTGCAGGTAGAAGTCAAATACATAAATCACATTTTGCTTTAAGCATTCCCATATGTAGCAAATTGCTATGTATCATCAGACCTTAATTTAGTATATTTAATAAACTTTCACTTGGAAGTAGTTTATGTTGACAAGCTTTTACGAAGCATCACTTTTTGCAAAATTCAACCCCAAAGGATGTTTGAAGTTCTCTTCTTGTATACCTTTAGTACTTGCCTATAATGTAATGTGATTGCACTTAAAATAGCACTGCTCGTAGAGATTACATCAGAATGGTTGTGAGCCCAAGCCTGTTTCTGGAGTAAATGATGTGAGTGCTTTGTATGAATTGAATAGTGGTGCGTTGCCAGGAATTCAGGTTATTCCTCCACAGGAAACTGTATTAAAAATAACAGTCTTTCAGTACAATCTGGTCCCATTTGGAGAACACACATAACCTTTTAAGAGTGATAGTGGTAGAAGAATGCTAAAAACATAAGCTCCTAAAAGGTGACAGTGGTAGAAGAAACAGTAGTAGAAGAGTGTTAAAGATGCTTCAGCTGTGCCAAGACTGATTTTGGAAAGTTCCCCAAAATGTATCAAGAGAAATAAAATGGCACTTCAACTTTTAAAAAGCAACTTCTGCATTCTCCCACAGTGCTAGCTTAGTAGAATTACCGCTCTACAAACTCAGACTTGCATAATAGGAATTCTTGCTGAATTTGGGGTGTGCAATGTTAACAGTAGTCGTATATGTTATTTATTGATTATTCCAATTTTTAGGGGTCTTGTACACATAAAAGTTTTATTAGCATCACTCCGTCAGTTAGGAGAACATTTTTACTAACTTTATTAAGAACCAGTGGTATAGATGTAGTCATACCATAACAAAGCTGATTTACAGTCCCCAATATGTGCTAACTTTTAAAAAGAATTCTTGTGCTCATATGACTGCATCTACTTCAGGATACCCTTTTCTACTTTAACTCATTTCCTGGTATGGAGGTACAAGTATGCTCTTATCTTGAGAAGAATCATCCTTCTTTCAGTTTATTCCAAACCACAATCATACCCTTTTGCCAGGTCTGCTCCAAATTCCCAGCTTCATTTGTTTTCATACACTATGCAGTTTGGAGGGAAAAAAACTCAGTGGCAATGACAGCTTTCATAATCCCTGCTATTCTTCAGTTAAATCAGTTCCATAGGCTACTCTAGCATGCACCCAAAAGAATTGCTGTGCTAGCCTAGTAAAGACTGCAGTACAGGTGCAGGTGGAAACAAATAGCCAGGGTGGCCTGCACAATGTTAAGCAGTACTGCCACGGAAAGTTGCATTGCAGTCACAATCCCTGGCCAAAGACAGACAACGCTGCAGTGACAAAAGTAAGTTCATAAACTCTAATGAAATTTCAATGAAAATTAACAAAATCCCAACAAAAATTGTACATGACCCCAGCTGATTTTATATCAAAGACAGTAAAACCTGCATACACTTACTGATGGATTCAGCCCTTTGACTTAGGAAATCTCAAAAATCACAGCCTTATATCACTTCATTTTTTCTACATATTAATTGAGTTTTAATTACTTTATGATAGGCAAAAATAAAAAGTACAGGTTTGTTTGAAATCTCCCTGACAAATACTTGTGTCGAATGAGTCTATTGTACTATAATGGTTCTTCAAGTAGGGACAAACATGATCTACATGTTAGTAGAGACTACTAATGTCTCTTTCATAACACTAGTGTGTATGATTTTGTACCTATATGGCCCGTACAGAAATTAACTCATGCAAGGCAAAAGAGGCGGTAACATCCCTCTGTAAAACAGATGTTGAACTGGCAGTGTATCTGCACCACTGGAGATAAACTCATGTGTAACCTGGGTATTTTTGAGCTACTTTTCACCTCTTTGCACCCACTAACAGCACTGGAATAGAGAAAACAGGCTACCTGGATTTTCAACAGCTCATAGTCCTGCATGGGCTTTATGCTGTGTCTGAACTCTCATATGCACCTTGCTCTGTCTGCATAGTTCAATCTCTATGCAGCATAAATCAGGAGAAATACATGGTTGCTGTTACCATTGGAGGAAAAGTTTCAGCTCTAAAACTACTTCTGCAAGATTGCATTGGCCATACATTTTAACAGGAAAGTTGCCAAAAACTTACTTGTGTTAAATTCAACCTCTCTTTCTGACTCTCTCCAGGCTGCTTCTATCTAACATCCACTCAGCTTTCAATTCTAACAAACTGATTTTTAAACTATAATATCGCATTGCTTCTTTGGAACATGGATTTCTCATTCAGTTTCAGCCTAGTCCTGATCATTATTCAGAATGAAAAGGAGGAGATAGGGGTACAGAGATAACAAATGGACATGCACACACTAAGCTTGGTTTTCCAGTGTTTTGTGTTTTATTTAGCCATATGCAGGCATGCTAGGTGAGTGCAAAACAAAGGTCAAGGGCTCCTATTTTGATTTGTTAGTATTATTGACTTATTTGCAAAAAGGTTTCAATAACCAAAGATCTGTACAGTGTCCAGATTTGCCCCACTTGTTGATACGGTATCTAAAAACTTGACAGGAATGTGCTGAGGAAGGTGTGTATTGAACAGGAGGGCAAGCTTTAAAATACTTCAATCCCTTCCCACTCCACCTCCCTCTCCTTGCCAGTGCAAGTCTAGCACGGCAGGTATGATCCTGCTCATATGATACAGGAGCAATCATGTGACTGAGCAGCTCTGTCATGTCAGTGTAGCCACTCCTGACACCTGAGTAATTATCTACCATGAGTTTGGTAATCCTTATATCCATCCCTCCTAAGGAGAGGGACTTAAACACAGGCACTGGAATGTTTTGCTTACACAGTACTTTGTTTTGTTTGGTGCTTTCTCTTCTGGTAGTTGAGAATAAAGGTTTGCATCTTTATAAGACATAAATAAAAGATGAATTGGAATGAGAGAACTAGTTAGTATTACCCTTCATGAAAATATTCCCTGTAAAATATAAAAGATTGTGTTCACCTGTTCTAGAGTACTTCACAAACAATTCAACCTGTCTGATTAAGAGGTTTACAGCTGCTTCTTTACATGAACTAGAAAGTACCTATTACATGCACAACAATTACATGCCTCTCATCACAGGATCTAGATTACTCCCAGAAGTCTTTTCTCACATAAGGCTTGTCTACATAATCTAGCATAGGGAGTACTCCTCTAAAAAAAGTTGGCCCATAATTTGTCCTCCCAAAAGTTTTAACACCTGCATTAACCAGAAGAAATATTACTCTAATCAGAATGTCTTGGGAGTTTTGTCACGCCTACATCAAAACCACTATATACCACTGTCAGGCATTGGTAAGAGGCTAGACAAACAGGAACCTTATTCAGAACCAGGGGCCATCGCTTGCAATGCCTTAGAAGTTGTTAACATACTTGGGTAAACTTCATTTAACTTTTCCTGACATTATTTTAGAAGCAAGTCCCAGACAATGTGGGAGTTGCAGAGAAAAATCAGCTACTGTTCTTAGCCACTGCTAAAGCAGAACATGGATTTGGAAGGCAAGACACCACTTCCTTAGTTTACACTAATTTGTGGCATACTTCATTTTGCACCTTTACTTGAGGAGGCTGAAAGTGAGTATTCTGACAATGCCTGGATCCTGTAAACTTACCCTAGGAGTTGTTTTGAGCTGACTCACACTTCTGGGAGCATTCATGCCTTTGACAAGAAATCAGGAAGACTAAAATTAGAAAAACTACAAGTATTCAGATTAAGCCATTTTAGGGAGCAGTTTATTGTTGATATATAGGGTGGCTTGTGCTAGAAAAATGCTTTGGAACCCCCATGTTTCTATGTTATGAGGCTTTATAGAGGCCTGTGGTGCTAATTCTTCAACAAGCTTTAGGTTAGGTGATCATAAATTTGTACAGTTGTATAGGCCAGAATAATTGTAAGGTTTGCACGGGGTAACAGTTGATTTCTTTTTCAAAATACATGTCAAAATAAACATAAATCTTGGCGTGTGCTTTTCTGTGAGCATGGGTATCTGATCTTACAGATTAGCTGCTTTACTCTTCCTTAAAACATTCTTGCATAATGGCCATCTTTATAACTAAGTGAACAACAAATGTCTAAATAAACAACTTCATTAATATTGGAAACATATGAAAGGAAATGTTAAAGAGTAAGGCCATCAAACCTTCTGTCAACTAAAAAAAATGGTTTTAATTACCTAGCACACTTTGGAAGACCAAATCTGAAGTGAAATCTGTGAAGATAAAGTCTACAAATGCACTGTCATAACTTTTATGTGTTAAGTTATTGCTCAGAGAGCTTGTCATTAGTCTTTATAGAATTTGTATCTGCACATAAACTTTAGACACCGGAAAGCATTTGTTGCCCTTCTAGCAAGTGCCTTCTTTCCTTTTTCCTCATGCCATTACATTGTCAGGGTTTCTTATCCCTTGTTCCTGTTGTACCTGCAGCAAGTCTTGGAATTTGGTGCTCCTCTTCTGCATCTTCACAGCAATGTCATTGGGAGTGAGATGCATTTCTTTGCTATCTGTAGCAATGGCTTTGCTCAGCCTCCTAACTGGCCCTTCCATCCTCAGAGTACACGCAAAACTAGAGAAAGAGAACACGTTAATCTGAGATTCCAAAGAAAAATGTTGTCCAGCTGCCTTCTGATAAAGGCCCCAGTTTACAAATTTTAACACAATGACTATACTGTCTGTCTAAGCAACAAAAAGGTGCTCTGTTCCAGTAGAGGAATTTCTTCAGCCAATGAAAAGATTTTTGTGTACCACGTATTGGTGAATGTGTTAATAACAGAAGAGATCCAGCAAAATTCACCTTATTAAACAAATTAACCAAAATCATGCTTGTGCAGTAAGTCTGTAAGTATTATTTATTAGAAAGAGGCAAAGGCTACTGATGTGTTGCTGATGCATATGTTGCTACCTGATAAGCATAATCTGGCTGTATTCTGCAACTTCCTCCCCTTTTCTCATAAAAAATAGAAACACAAGGCAAAACCTAAAAAAACATGGACTTTGCCACAGAGGACTTCAGCAATTACTCCTTGCTATGACTGCTTGCCAAAGAACAGGAGCTGCATGTGTACACAGTTTTCATACATCCCCCTCCATAAAAAAAAAAAGAAAAATACTTATGAGGACAGATTGATCTTTGGCGACATTGAATCCTGACAAACTTTGTCCAATGAAGAGGTCTAAAATCAGTAATCCAAGTCACAACAGCTGTATCGCAATCTGTATCCCGTTATGTGTGAACGATGCAGTTCTACAGATTATGACAACGCACTAAAGAAAAGGCATCTAATGGTATGAATGGTGCCTATTTAAAATATATAGGTCACTACTATGACATGTTTACACTTGGCTGTGTATTTACCATTCTCCCCCTCAACAATTAGGTGGACTTTGGGACGGAAGAGCGGTAATAAACTTCTGCGTAAGCTTCCTAAATGGTTTTTGACCTTTACAGAAGCCAATCTCTCTAGGAAAAGCCAACACTGTAACAGATAAGGCTAAAAACTGTATATTGGCTTGAAACATTGGTTCCTTCACTTTGATCCTGCAGGGGACATCTGTGAATTTGTTGCTTAAATCTCCTAGGACAGCTAGTGGCCATTTTTGAAATGAACCCAAAAACTGAGGCATGTTATCAAACCCAGAAGCAGATCTACTCCTCTGGTCAGCTACTATGAATCACTGGCTTGTCAAAACAGGGATTTGTTGGCTGTCTCTCTAAAGAGTAGTCTGGAACAGTCCATAAAAATATTGTCATTTAAGACTAAATGGAATAAAAAATACCTCATAGACTTAATGGAACTGAGATGGAAAGGCAGGTAAGCAGGACGAAAAGATACAGGAACTTGGACCTGTGATCAACTTCTCTTTGTGACCTTTAACGTACAGTTAATGCAGTTGACAACTGTATATCAACACTAACACAGTGAGAACAGCTGCTGAGGCAGACACCTGCGGACAACATAGAAGATGATGACTGTGGTGAACCAAGGAAAATACCACAGGAATTTTTACATAAGTGATATCATGTTACAAAACAATATGTACATGTAAACACAACAGCATTTCATAAAGATAATCCCAAGAGAGTTTAAATAAAAAAAAAAAGCATCAACTGAAATCGGGCTAAATCAATATTGTTTTAATACTAAAACTATCTATGTTAGTGATGTTTCCTATGGGGGAAGCGAACAAACAAACCTAGTTTTTTTAAAAACCAATACAAGGTTACTACTATTACTAAATTAGTGAAATTAAAACCACTGGAAAAGCTCTCACTGACTTAATGGAATTTAACTATAATAACTGCACAGATAAATATAATCTGGTTACTCAAGTGCTTGTTTTGCCAGTGTTGTAGTAAAATACACACAGTACAACTCTGCCCAGTATGCAAAGGGGCGTACCTGTATGGTCAACGACTGAGTTGGAATAATGGGTTGGAAACTAAAATTATTTGCAGTTGGTTTAAGGACTTCAAATTATTATGCCCAAAGGCCTGCCTGATACTTGCACTGCTGTTTCACTACAGTCTAATTACTGCAGTTCTCAAGTCACCATTGAAAACAGAGCCACACACATACAGCTCAAAATATCCCAAACAACCTGTTTTGTTAAAAATCTGCCTGTGCAAATGCATTGGCATATGGATTTTGAAGATGTATCTCTAGCATACAAGTCAGTGCTTGACAGATGCTCGGAGATTCCTGCTCGTCCCAGTGTGGACGAGAGACTTCTCTGTGAAACACTCCCTTAGACAGGGAACTTTATAAGGGATGAACAAAATCACACTGTTATGTTAGAGACGAGCTGAATCTACTTCTATGACATTATGACCAAGCACTTCAGACATCACAGTTTCTAAAGACTAAGAAAAAACAGCAGACTTTGTACCAATGAAAAATCGAGCCCCATACCAGCCACTGTGAATATTAACTCTATCCTAGCCAAAACTAGCACAATGGGTCAACATGAATTTTGCAAGATGATTGTTCATACTACATTTTGAATTCTGAATGAAATTTCTCAATAATTCAGCAGCCCTTCATTAAAAGACCCTGTGATGTGACATTAAAAAAAATTGTAGCATTTAAAATAAATGTGAAATAAATATGTGTAAAGGAATACAGGCAGATACTATTTTGAAATAAGACATCAAGCACTACACTGACTTCATCAGTAAGTATTTCCAAGCTGCATCAGCTTAAAACACAATCGTCAGTGTATCCCATACATTAAGGTGGGTTTAAAAATACCCAAAATCAATGAAGCTGATTGACTGTTCTGTTATTTCAAATTTACTCAGAAATCCCTACATTCCTTGACACACACTCCACCTCCTAATCTATACTGAATGTAGCCTGTCCTTGTGTGATAAGAGATGTTTCTTCAGCTTCAAAATCCATAGAAAATAAGCCTCAGCCATGAGGTTTGTGTCAGAGTTAGATTTCTGCTTGTAAAGCTGTGCTCTCGTTGTGCTTTTCCCTGAGTTGTCTTCTTTCCAGAGCCTGCAATAAGCAATGTTTGAAAAGAAAAAGTGAACAATACAACTTTGGGTTGAGGCATTCACCTCCTAATGGAAAAGTTATCCAAAAGATGAAGAAGTAGAACAAGATGAAATTGCATATGACTATAGTGATGAGCTATTAATTTTCAAGGTATTCTTCAAATTTTCTCAGATAAAAAAGCCCTATAAAACTAAATAATTACTCAGGAACAACCAAACCCATAACATCTGTAATGAGAAACTTGGTAATGTTCTTTCATACATGTTTTTCCAGGGCTTACCAAGCTCTTTATGGGAAACTGTGATATGTAAACATTATTACTACTTTGTTTGCTCTTCAGATCAAATCCGTATGAATGAGGTGTACATTGATTTCAGAATTTAGAAAATTCTGAGGTATTTTTCCTCACAGGTAACCCACAGTGTCTGATTTTCCTTTCACTCCTTTAATCATATTGCTGTAATTACCCCACTGACACTCACAATTATGTACATTAGCTATATGTGGGCTTCCCAATCATGGATCAGGATCTATGACAGCTGGTTAGATCAAAATAAGGCTTGTTCATACCTAAAGAACCACTAAGAAGTGCACAAAAAGAACAGCAGAAGCAGCACAATAACGCTAAGAGAATTCTGTAGACCCTTTATCAGTTGTGTGACTTTTGTCTTGGCAAACCAGAGACAGGTGAGGAAGAAACACTGAAGTGGTCATAATGGAGAAATTGTTCTCTGGCAGTTCTTTGGCAGGCGAAGCTAACCAGCACAGTAACAAAATTTGACTGAAGTTGAAACTTGTCTACCCCTAATCAGGATGACGGGTTTGGAAATGGTCTAATCCAGGTATACTTAGTATTGGTATTACACTGTTTCTAATATATTTGTCTATTTTCTAGTGTTTAAATTCTTTCAAGTACAATTCTTCTAAACTTGATCTTTTAAATGAATTAATTTCCTTAGGGCAGGTTCCTGGAGCTCTTCTTGGTTTCCAGCTATTATGTGGGGATCAAAAATAGCCACCATTTTGCTGTACTAGATCCAAGGCTCACAGAACTAAGTCAAGGTGTCCCAGACAAGCTCAGGTACCAATATATTCTCTTAAGAAAGGATCCAGAACAGAAAAAGGAAGCTCAGAATGCTTAGAGTTGCCTGATTTCTGAAATTATTTCTGCCAGGATTCAGCACAATTTGGCACACCACCACATTCATGCAGCGGGAAACCACATGTTCTCAAAGAAACGTGAAGAATGTATGAATTTAGAGATAAGATCTTAGTAGGAAGACAGGTAAAAGTATTTCACATTTCTTACTATTTGTTTGTGTTTTCTGAACCCATCTTTGAAATACAAAGGAAGTTAAGAGAACACATTAAGACGATGGGGAAAAATCTAAATTAAACTCATGAGGAAAGGAAATCTTTTTCTGATCTGCACCACAGCTGTGCACAGACAATCCAAACATGTTATGATTCTGTAATAAAAACTATTGTTAACCACAATCAAGCTGTGACTTGTTGAGATAAAAGCACTTTCTTAATAGCATTTACTTATACATATATTAAATAGAGCCTGCTTGGATAAGGAGAATAATAGTAGTAGTTTAATTGCAGGTCTTTAACTGGGAAGAACTTTATCCTGTTTCATCACAGAAGTAGTCATTACTGAACCGGCTCAGAGGACAGAAGATTAAACACCTAATCATTACACAAGATGTTGAAAACCCAAGGCTTTACGTAAATGCCAAGTATCCTGTTATTTTCCACTGGGTTGAGTTTCTTGCACTGTCTTCCCAGTTTTCTGGTGAAAACATTTGTTTTCCAACTTTTGTAAGTGAGTTATATGATTGTGAATTACTCCTATGGCTGGTATAAGGCAGGGATGCTTCAGCACCAAGCAGTTACATGGAATAACAGCGTTTCTCAAGTCCAAAGTACTTCTTGTACCACATTCCAGCCACAGGGAGAGCTGCTGAGCCAGGCTTATATTCCCTGGGCCCAGTTACATATTCATAGAGTGGCTCTTCCGAATCATCCCATGAGACGGTCAGTGCTGCTTTGGGAACACGAAGTGAGAGGCCCAGAAGGGCTACATTCTGCCCCGATCTTTGTGTTTTAGGTGTCATCCTACTGAGACGATCTACACAAACCCTATCTCTCCGTGAAAATAATAAAACGTTTAAGAAGTCTTTCTCCTCACATTATTGAGTAAACTCACTACCGAGCATCAGTTGTACTTAAAAAGGTATACCGAGAGCCACCTATGTGCTCTGCTACATTTCATAGCACGAGGGGTAATCCTACTAGATCAGCCTTCTGTTACGAATCACTCCGCTTTCTAACAGCAGAAAATGAAAACTGTGCATCTACCCTAAGTAGCGAAGTGCAGCCCCCCAGTGCCACCTCCAAAGGCTTCCCTCGCTTCCAAGACCAGCCCCGTGCCACCCGAGTGGCCAGCGCCGCTGCCTCAGAGCTCTGCGCAGACGTGTCGCTCACTCAGCAGCTGCCCTGCGGGCGCTGTAGGACGTGGCTGCACCGCGGTGGCCACACACCGCCGGCCTTTAACCCTTTCTTTCCCCGGTGCCGGCGGGGGCTGGCACCTCCCTCGACCCACCCCACGGGTCTAACGCGGTGCCCTCAGAGGCGGAGGGACTCAGCCTTCCGCCCTCAGCCCCCTCAACCCTCCGTCCTCACCCTTCACCCCTCAGTCCCCTCACGCCTCTCCTGGAGGTTCCCGCCCGCTGCCGTGAGGCGGCGGCGCGAGCGACTCCGCACAAGACGCACCCTCAACCCGCCGCCACGCTTTCGCCAACACCGCCTGGGCGAGCGGCCGCGCGGAGGCGGAAAGGGAATGCGGGACTTCCTGCGCGCGCACGCGCGCTGGAGGCTGCGGCACCTCTCGCGGGAGCGGAGCGCGTGCGCGCGCCGTTGAGGCTCGTCGCGGGGCTGGCCCGCGCCCCGATTCGCCGGCGGGGCGCGAGCTGAGGTGGGGGCGAGGCCGCCTTAGGCCGACAGCCAATGGGAAGCGGGCGGGACGGCGGGCAGGGGGGCGTGTCCGGCGGCGGGCAGGGGGGCGTGTCCGGCGGCGGGCGTGTCCCGGGCGGGCGCGCGCTGTCCGGGCAGCGATGGCGGACGATGGGCAGGGGCGGCTCGGGACTGAAGGCGGCCGGGGTGGCAGCGCGGCTGCGGCGGGTGGCCAGATGCTGCTGAGCATTGGGCTGCTGGCGCTAGCGCTGCTGGCGGCCTACCGGCTGTACCTGCGCTGGGGGACACGAAGCGGGCCGGGAGGCTCGGCCCGGAGAGGCGAGGCCGCCCCGCTGCCGCGCATGAAGCGCCGGGATTTCTCCCTGGAGCAGCTGCGCGAGTTCGACGGAGCCCGCAACCCTCGCATCCTCTTGGCTGTCAACGGCAAAGTCTTCGACGTGACCAAAGGCAGCAAGTTCTACGGGCCCGGTGAGACGGCGGGGGGGCGGGGGGCAGTCCTGGCCTGGCCGCCTGGGACCCACCGGCGGTGTTAGATTGGTGATGCACACCGGGTCTGGGTTCTCCTCAAGCATCCGTCGTTTTTCCAGGTGCCTTGATTTGGATGTGCGATGTTTAATGCTATTTTTTTTTCCTTTTGTCTTTTCTAGTAGGTTTCCCCAGTGCAGCTGAGCAATGCTTTCTTCTAGCGCTTATGGCCTAGGAGAGAAAAACAACCAGCTGGTTATTTATTTATGCCATATTGAGGATGAATTTTAATCAGGATAGAGGCAGGGCAGAGAGATCAGGGACTGCTATGTTGCTGCCATTGGGAAGAGTGCAGAAATCAACCCGATCTCTTAAACAGAAAGACAGACGATACTCCTCTTTGGAGAGGAAATGTGTATTTTGAAGGTTCAGAAAAGTAAGCTTCAAAGGCAATGTTATGTTTTCATACCCACCTTGTAGCTTGTGAAACTGTAGCATGTTGTCTCGTAACAAACTGTTCTTAATATTGAGGTGGGTAAACTTACCAGTGAGCACTGTGTTCTCATCTAATGCCAAAGGAAATGAGGGTTATGACTGCTGATAATTTTCTTCCTTAAACAATGGTGGTTTGGAAAACTTGATTTATTCAAACTATGCTGGAGTTTTCATAGTAGGCATGGGAAATGTCCTTGTAGGAAGGGTGGAGGGGAGAGAGGATAACTTCCCTCTACCTCAGGAAATAGTTCAAGTTAAGTAATTATTATTATTATTATTTAATAATAGAGGTCAAAAAACGTAAAACACAGCACTGGCATGTTACAAGTCTTTGGTTCTTAGTTGGGAAAGGACAAGCAGTTGTATGGTTGAACTGGGCTAGAATTTTGTAACTCTTGTTATCCTCGAAGTTTGTGACACCAGTTGCACAAACTGAAGCTGCTGTAATTGAATCAAAATGCTTTTTTGACTGGATACTGTCAAAGTTAACAATGGGATCTGAAGTACCCTGCCATGTGCTATGTTGTTTATTGACCAGTAAAGCTGAAAAAATGCAGTCTGTTGAGCTGCAGCTTTCATGACATTTAATCAGGTTAGTTCTTTTGTCTCTTTCATTGAATGGTTTTTAAACTGAGACCTGTGTGCTGACATAAAATGCAGGTAATACATATGCTGCATGAACCTTAAAACACCAGTAAGTTGACAGATTACTCCATGAAACAATACTGAACCATGATCTAAACATTCCCTTTATCTCTTTTGTGCATCAAACAGCAATTAAATGCTAGGCTTTCCACTGAAGATATCATTGGTGGTTCACACTGTCAACCTCTGCAGGTCTGTTATTGTGAGGAAGCTAAAACTTAATGTTCTAGGACATCAGTCTGCTTTTTTGGTAACTGTTGGCAGCTGGTTTCCTTAAAACAGCGCTTTCAGGCTTTTCCAGGAAAGAGACAAATGTGTTTGGTTTTTTTTTCTCCCCTGTAGTGAAAGCTTGTCTGTTTCTAACAACTGACATCATCTTTGTCTATCAGATCTGTAACTTGGGACATGGCACGGTAGGATAGTGAAGCTCAACCTGTGCATCACCAGCTGTGTGTTCTCTGCCAAACATGTTGATGTTTGAATCGTACTGATGTGGTTTCCCTCTTTGGATACATGTCGGAATTTTTTCTTGCAACTGTTTTGTGGCTGAAAAGGAAAATGCTAGTAGGTGGTTTGCAGGCCTGAAAAGATCTGAGAAGAGTCAGGTGGAAAAGTCTCCTACAGCTGGTTGAGACCTTTTCAGAAAGGCTTCAGTCAGAGTAGGCAGATGTCCACAGCAATTCTCAGGGTAATTTTATGTCTCGTAGCTGGAGTGTGGCAAGGGAAATGCAAAGCGTACCGACAAAGCATGACCAGATTTTAACAGAAGAAAATGCTGAGGGCACTGGCTTTGCTGATATTTCAGGCTTTGACCGTGAGCCTTTGGTATTTTGTTGAGGTACTGATGTGAAATAGAGCATCAGCTTTGAAGACAGCAGAAAGCATTGGCTGAGGTCTCACTATCAATTTTAAGTATATCTGGAGTGCTGGGTTAGTGTTGAATAATGTGGCTGTCTCAGGTGGCTTCTGATGCCATGAAAATAAGGTCGGGTTTTTCTCCTTCAGTGTAGTTTGGATGCAAAGGTGTTTCTCATTTTTCTACTTACAGCAGAAAGTTAAAAAATGCACAAAGTTGTCATTAGTCTAGATTTTTGTCCAACAGTTGAGATTCCATTAAAGTTCCCACAAACTTCTGACTTTACTCAAAACTCTCATGGTTTTAAGTCACATCCAGTGAATCCTGTTATACTTTGGCCTGTTTCATTGAAGAGCCCTTTACATACATACAGTTAAGGTATTTTTAGATATTGATAGACTGTTGAAGTCATCCTTTCAAACAGCTATGACTGAAAACTTCACCTTCTTGAACATTTAATCGAAACGTTTTTCAGATTTGTTTAGCTTTTCTCATGTTGTCTTCTTTAAGCCTTACACAGTTTATGTCATCAGTATTCTCTTAGTCTTTGGTATGTCAGGCTTTTTAGCTAAGAGCAAGAGAAGGTTACAATGCACATTTACCTGTCTGTGCCTCCAAAACCCACTTTGCTTACACTGTACTCTTAATTTAAAACTTTACTTGCAAGTTCTTTTCTGAAATGCCACTCTGTCCTGCAAAGATGCCCTTTGTTTCAACACCTCACTTAGGTGTATGAAATGCCACCTCTGCTTGTGCTCAAATGAGTAAGTGTCCTAGAATGCTTTGATTGGTTATTAATTTTAATTAATTGCCTTTTCCTTAATCATACACAAAATTTGAAAGAAATAAAGTAGAAAATTAGTGGTTAACTATTAAAAATATCACATAACCAGGCTTTCAGAGAAGCTGTTTTGGGATGATTTCCCATCTGTAATCACATCTCATGACTTAGGGTCTAATACCTTTTGTGTATGCTGTGTTGATTTTGTACGTTTATAACAAGACACAGTATCTACTGTTTCATTTATTGCAACATTTAATTTCATGTTTGTTTTTATCAAGATTTCTGGTTGAATATTTGTCAATAGAAGGGCATTGTAAGATTTAAAGTACTTTATGTCAGCAAGTCTTAATATTTAGCATTTAAATTGGCATACCAAGGTAATGCTGTAAACAGGTTTTGATTAACTTAGCAAATACTTTGTGCATTTATGAAAAATATATGTCTTTGAGCATGACAAAGCAAGATTATATGCAATCCTGTGTATGCACCTGTTCACGTCACTTCTTGGTACTTAATGTTTCGTGATCTTAAAAAAATCAATTTCCCGACTTCCCTTCGCTGCAGTACATTGTCACTGTCAGCTCATTTCTCATCCCACTCTTGTCTTTCAAGTTGTCATGAAGATTTCTGATTTTCCAAGTTTGCCAGGAGGAATAGATAAGATAGTAGTTGTTCCTTCCTATAAAAATAATCCAGTGCTGTTAGACTTCCTTTGGAATTGAATGCTGTGAACTTCATTGTGTCTCTATTGACCACATGATAACAGTGCTTTTCCATACATCCTTTACCGAGGGTATGGTTAGAGTGAAATGTTGCAGGAGGGACATTATATATGATGTATTTGGACAATTCTGCTAGGGCTGACCTTATCTTAAGAACACAACAGGCTGAGGGCTTACAGATAAGTATGGAGGATAAGACTGGGGGAAAGAAGTGCTTTCTCTAAGGTGTGTGTCTTCTCTGCATTTTTGATGTTTGTCAGCTCTTTGGTGTCTGTGTAATGAGGTGTTTCTCCCCCTGGGATTCAGCTTTTCAGAGAAACAGCATTTCTGGATAAAATGGAGTTCCATCCAGAAGTAGTAAAACTAAAAGGTGTATACATGCTATTGGTCAGAGATTGTTTCCATACTTCTGGTTAAAGGGAGTACTGCCTTTGCCACCAGGATGGAAGGGTTGTTCTGAGCCTCCAGGCCATGTTCATGGAGAGCAGCGGCCAGTAAAGTGCTTCTGAGCAGGAAAATCAGTACTCGTCTCCTCCTCTGCTTCTGCTCCTTGTGTCTGTCAGCATTTTCCTTATCTTTTTTTAAGTTTCTTTTTCCTTTTTCATAACATCAATATGTTCCTTAAAACTAGAATAACCGTGTTTAATAAAAGGCCTCTGTAAATTCCTAGTTCCTGTTTAAACCAATCATGTCCCAGTCACAGAATTGACTGGGTTGGAAAGATCCTCTGAGATCATTGAGTCACCTAAGGTTTGAGGGGCCTAATCAAGCAGGTATGCTAAGAGCAAGATATATTAGAATGTGATAGTGACATCATTGTTAGTGACATGTGGATGTTAAATCCAGTACACAGCAGCATCACTTTCATTTAATCAAAACACCTGGCCAGCATTGCTTGTCTTATTATGAGATAAACTAGTGGCCAGAGCATTTGTCACTAACGCAAGATGTAGAATCTAGGTCCTTCTCAAGAATGGAACTATCTTCCAGGAATCTCTTGACTGCTCAAATACAAGCTCTCTTTGCAGTGCTTGCTGTCTGCCCCTTAAGTTGAAATTGGGTCATTGATTCTTGCACTTTTTTTTCCTAGAGAGTTAAAAAGGAAATAAGTGAGAGTGAGGCCCTCTGGCCTTATGCCTGAGGAGTCCGGTTTAGACCTCTGTTTCTAAGCAGTTTCCATCTCAGCATGTAGACTTTGTGGATTGGTCTCCTAAGAACACATACTTTCATGCAAATTGTAACTTAAAATTAACCCACATCTTTCCTTTCGTGTAAATCTGGAGCAGTAAAGTATGTCACCTTGAATTCCCAGTGATATATGTTATTAGAAAGCTTCTGCTCTCAAGCTGCGTCTCAAAATGGCTTTGTCTAATTTGTAGCTTTTTCATTCCCTCATGAAAGATGCAACACCGAACAAACATGTGTTAGGATTCAGATGGAAAATGTGGAACAGCCAGTGGAGTTTTTGCTTTGAGCTGGAGTGGAAAAAGTAGGCAAAGTGATGGAATAATGCAGTTGTTAATAATTTTGTCTGCAGATGAACAAATGTCATCCGTGAATATCTAAGCTCCAGACAAAACTGGGGTTTATTTCCAGTGGCTGCATGGAGTCAACAGATGCAAAGAACAGATGCAAAGTACACTTTGCATATTTGGTGATTGCACTTCCTACTTGAAGAAACCAAAGCTGCTGGTTTAAAACTGAACCTTGTTAACCTGTGTGGCTTCTTCAGAGAAATCACATGATGGGCCTTGTGAAAATGAATACAATTTTTAGATTACATATCACTTCATTAGATATAAAGTCCACGTGGCTGTCTGTGGTGTGATCCCTGCACTGCCCGTTGGAACAATCCAAAGTTCAGTGTACAGTGTTCACTTCTTTACTAGTCTTGTAGCAATGGTCTGGGATGTTCCACAAAGCTGGTACAGAACTGAAATAAATGGTCAGGTAGCTTCTTTGGTAACCAAGAATATCTACTCCAAAGTTGAATATGAGTATAGCTTTTGCTGGGGGAACTATTGGCCAGACTGGCTGAAAATTGAAATGCATGCTATTCCAAGATCCAGTTTAGCCTGTTTTGGAGAAAGTGACTCAAAGCAGTGTTTCCAAATAAAAACTTCATACTTCAAAATTTTTACTATGGTGCTTTAGCCTAAATATATTCTTCCTTGCCTGCTGTTGTCTTAAAGTGTCTGCAAAGAGAAATTAAGTCTTCATCTGAGAACCAAAACAGGGCTAGGAGGTGCAGAAATCCTGAGTGCAGGAATTGCAAAGGTATTTTTACTGTCTGAAGGGATTTTGATTTTACCAATTGTGAATTGTTTATTGTGAATAAAGACAAATATCAGGCTGGAACACAATGTCAAGTTCATCAAGGCTGCCAGATTCTTAACTGAATTCTAAAAGGAAGTGAGGATCTGCAGGTGGTGGGTACCAGTGTTTTGTATGTGTTGTAGCTTAGGGAAGGGTGTACTTTACACAAGGTGGAGTTGTAAGGTAGATGAGGACTTTATACAGGGGAAAATGCAGTGTATGAACGTGGTGGTAAAGATGTGGAGTTATGTAGGCAAATATGTGGTCTGGATAATTGGTCTCAGGGCTAAAATAAACAAAGGCTCTGAACAGAGTGCTTTAATATTGAAAGCCATGATGGGAAGAAAAGCATTCTTCAAGGAACAGCGTTTTCCTTCATGTAAGGCTCCTAGAACCATGTAGCCAAGTAACATGTAGCAGACGTATTTTAATTCGTTTTAACACTTCCCTGACTTCCAGTGTTGTGAGATGCCAAATAGGAGTGGGAGAGGAATTTTTTAAAGTCGTAGTTGACTATGAAATAGCTAATTTGGGGATACAGCAAAAGAAAACTGAGATTTTTGTGATAGTGTCTTGAAAAATCACTTTGGTTTACATACCTATGCTACAAGCCTCTGTTTTTGCCCTCTCTTCAGTGTGTCTGTCATGTCATGCTGCAATCAATTATTTACAGCAGGAGCCAGTCTAAATAGGTGGGCAGACAAAAGGAAAGAAGGACTGTGGGTAGGGCTTGCAGAGTAAATTGCATTTGGTCATGAAAAAACTCTGTAGGAGCGTGTCTAGGATTGCACTAATGTCTCTAGCTCAGAATCATGTTCCTGAAGGATATTTTCTCCCTGGGGTTCTCTGTGCTGGCACCTTCCTAGGTGCTTCTCCAAATGCAGTGAAATCTGATATGCAAAATACCTTTTTAAGACTGTTGCACTGGTATTTTATATAAAAGTGAATAATAGACATGGGCTAATAGCAGAACCCCAGACCTCTTTGTTCTATATTAATATGAAATAGTGTACTTAAACCCTGTGTAGAAGTACCTGAATGGAAGCTTTAAATGTTGAAGTAGATTGCTCATACCAAGTACTCTGAACTTCGCTTTAGCAACCGTGCAACTAAGGTGAAGCCAAGCTTGCACCATTTTTTAATAATCATAATTCAATATTTTAATAATCATTATTCAATATTTACCTTTTAGTAAAGGATGGGACACATTTCTAAGTTACACTTGCAGAGCTGGAATTTGAGATGCTGTCTACCGAATCCAAAGGCCGATTTTTACAAGTTAGCATTCCATTGAGTGCTTGGACATGGCTCGATGGTTTCTCTGTGACTTCTGAATACTTCTGTAGTAACAATCTGGAATGTTTAGATTCAGTTTCAGAAAAGAAAAAAAAGTTGGTGTAATAGCATATGAGATATTTAAAAGATATTAAAAGATATTTGCAGAAATTTTGCCTCCATTAATCTTAATGCAAGCTGATACATTCTAAAAGTTTTCATGCTTTCAGTTAAGTGTATTATTGAGATATAAGGGTGTTTAGTGCTGATAAATATGATACTGATAAATATGTCATTCTCTTTTTAATAGAAATAATTGTAATCAAGCTGGTGGACCAAGAGGTGGCATCTCAGCAGGTGCTGTAAAACTCCACAAACCACTAAATGCAGGGTAGAAGAGAATGGTAGCACTGTGCTACTCTCTGGTTAGTCAGAATTTAAATAACACATTATCCAAATAGTAGGATTTATGGCAATATTTGCTTGAAACACTTCAGAGAAAGGAAAAACTGGGGACAAAATACTGTTGGTGGGGACATTATGTAACATACAATTGCTCTTAAAGATTTACTGATTGTGGTGTTTGCAAGAGCTGTTTATAGCTCCAGTTCTTCATGCAGAACATAAAAAACTAGATCACTTGAATGATAGCTATTTTGAGTGAAGCAAGACTTCTTGTTTGAAGAAACTGTTGTGTTGCAGATGATGGGCATCACTGCGGCTTAGCCTGTTCTGTGGGAAGTGACTGGGTGTGCAAAATGCATTTGTACAGGGTTGATGTCAGTCTCTAAATCCTGTTTTGCATATAAACATCTAATTCAGGATGCCAATAGGAAAGAGAGTTCACTAGCCCTCTTGCCTTTTTTTCTCTTTAGTACTCTAAATGTAGTTTTTGATCCCAAAGGTAGTTTTTGTGAATGTCATTCCTGGAGCTAAATATCTAAAAGGATGAGCACATCATGCTGTTGATCATTATGATTGTCTCTTATGGCCAGATTGGTACAGTGCAAACTTCCAGTTGATAATTCATTCTCCAATACTTCCTTTTTGTGGAATTTTGCTTTTAAATCAGTTGGTTTATTTCCAGAGAGACAAGGGAATTGTCTTTGGCACACAAGACACCCTTCTGTTCTCAGGTCTGACTGTAAGCAGCTTACAATGCCAAGCACTCCGGGGTGGAGAGACGACACCAGTTCTGGTGAGGACGTAGTTTCTTCTAATCCATATGATACTCGGGTTCCTTGCCTCAGGAATTCTTCCTGCTGCATTCAGCCTCTGTCTGAACCCTGAAGTCAATGCCCTGCAAGAGCAGATAGGTGTGGTGGCTGGAGCAAGCGGCCTGGGAGGAAACCAGCCTCTTGGATTGATTTCCCGTGGCTCGTCCTGGTGCAGAAGAGGTCTGAGGTGCTCCAGCAGGCAATAGAGGGGGTGAAGGACAGTGTGTTGCCACTTGCTTGTGTTCATTCTTGCCCGTGGGTGCTGCCTTTTCTTCAGGCTGACGGCCACTTTCGAGAGGTAAGCCAGAGAAGGGTCCTGGCCTATTTATCTTCAAGTAGCAACCACTCTGTAGCAAGCCTTGGGCATCTCCCTGGTGCTCAGCTGCTGCAGTTAGTGCAGAAAACTTTAAAGTGGGTGGGGTTTTTTGGTTTGCTTTTTGGTTGTGGGGGTTTTTGTTTGTTTGTTTGTTTGAACTGATCTGAATTAAGGTATTTGGTTTTAGGACAAGAAAATTTAACATATGCTTAAAGTCTTTTCCATTAATTAAAATTTGGGAAAGCTAGTTACCAACCTTATCCTGAAAGTTGTTAAGTTTGCAAATCATCCAGTTCTCTTAGTAATAATACTTATTTTAGTCATAGCTCGAAATTTTATTGGCATATTTGTGCTGCTTTGCATTAGTCAAAAAGTACTTTATATTCTTAACGTGACAGTCTGTGCTGTTTTCAAGAGCAGTACAGGAGAGGGATATGGAAGATCTGCTGCCCAAAGTAAGTGAGGAGATTTCCACAGAAGAAATGTCCCAAAAGTTGAAGAAAGTTCTTGTGAAGTGAAATTATTAACTAGCAGTCTTAAGTTATATTTATTTATAATAATGACTTTCTAATTAAGATGTCTATACAGTTTGGTTCTGCTAATGCCTGACTTGTAAATACCCAGTGTTTTGTTTAATAGAAGTGCATTTCTTTTGAATTCCAGCCTCTGGTCCCTTTGGAATTTGCATCCACTGACGTGCATCAACTGACAGGGATTTTTCCAGATATCCCTTCAAAGTTATTTTCCTGGTTCTGCTTCTCTCAGCAGACTTTATCTCCCAGTGACATTAAAGATTGAATTGCAGTGCTGTTGAATGTCGAACAGCCGTGGCATTGAAACTGCTGCTGTTCCAATCCCTGCAGAATTTTAATTTATTACTTGGGCAGATAATGTAAAGAACAGAGATTTGGTTACCATAAACAAAGACTTGAAGGCATCAATTTTGTCTTTTTGTTTTCAGAGGGTCCATATGGAATATTTGCTGGCAGAGATGCCTCCAGGGGACTAGCAACTTTCTGTCTAGATAAAGATGCACTCAGAGATGAATACGATGACCTATCGGACTTAAATGCTGTACAGATGGAAAGTGTAAGAGAGTGGGAAATGCAATTTAAAGGTAAATTCTCAAATTAGCAGCACATCTTTAGCTTAAGGAAATGCTTTTAATAAAAATGACTGATTTGGGCTTGGGAAGCTTTTAAAGAAATGTTGACAATAATATCATTAATGCAATGTAACTTCGCTAAGAAAAGACCAGGGAATTCAGGCCTTTCTTCCATAGAGAGCCTTTCACTATATATCTCTTTCAACCTTTTAATTTTATACAAGAAAACTGTTCTCTTAGCTCTTCAGAACAGAATTTTACTCTCAAATCTCATCAGCTTAGCTGATGGAACTCCTGCTCACAGGTTATTGGCTTTGGGTGCCATGGAATTATAATTAGGACTAAAGATTGTTTTAGCATAAAGGGTTGAACAAGTTTGTCTTGAAATAATTTCTGACAAATACGCCTCAGGAGGGAGGAAGAGTCATTTTTCACGCTGACTGAAATCAAAACAGGCTGAGGGACTGAAGAGCAGCAATTTTCAGCCCCTGAGTGACAAAGCTTTGCCTGATCAGCTGTGGGAGAACAAAAACAAAGTACTCTCAGTTAGAGAAGGAAGGGAGCAGCAGTAGTAGAAAGAATGGTTTGGGAGGCTGATCTTGCTGCTAAATTACCACCAATTCCAGTGATTCAGGTTAAGAACTGTAGTGTGTAAGAGAAAAAGTGAATTTGCAGTAGTCCAGGCTAACAAGCAAATGCAGCTGTATTTGATTGTAATGGAATCATAACTCTCTTTCAGAAAAATATGACTACGTAGGTAGACTCCTAAAACCAGGGGAAGAACCATCAGAATACACAGATGAGGAAGATACCAAGGATCACACTAAACAGGAATGAACTTTGTAAACAACCAAAGTCAGGGGCCTTCGGAACTGCAACCTCTTATCCCCATCACAGAATGTCCTGCATCTTTGGGTACAGTTCATCTGCTGCGAAAAACATTCAACAGGTTTTGTACAAGGAAAATAATATACTCACAAGTGAAGATTTGGATACTAGACATTCTTTGTGCTGCCAAATTTTTTGTTGCAGTTTATTTGTAATGTCTGGTTAGGCTTCGTTAGGGAAGAGGGGCCAGGGATTTAAAGGCAAAAATGCTATTCCTTTTTATCAGTAAGCTGAAGCCTTCAAGTAGTATATCTTACAAGTTCTCTAAAAGATGTGAGTCTTCAAGCTCAAAGGAAGGTTTGAATCTTGTTTCGTGTGTTTCTCCTCTAGCATTAAAGATGTACTCATGCACATCAGCAGCAGTAGGTTAGACTACTGAAGCTGGTGCTAAAATGTGAATTTCCAATTTTGTTTTGTATTGTGGGTGTTAGTGGCCTCAGCAGAATACTTCAGTTCTCTAAGAGAAGTCCATGTAGATTAGGATGGGGATAAAGTTCATCCTTTTCTCAGAAGGACTGGATAAAACCGTTTCCTCTGCAACAACTATTATCTGAAGCCTGCCTCTCCCCCCTTTTCCCATCCTCTAAATCAAATCAAATATTAATTGTGCCTTATTTCGCTTACATAGACTTGAATTGTTTTAAGGGACAGCCCCCAAATTGCGGTTTCATAGTCACTACAAGCAGCATTGAGACTGAAGTTGGAATGTTCTGTTGACTGGAAAGCCTTGATGTCATTCTGTGTATAGAATGTAAAAGAGGAATACTCAGTGTTACTGCCATATGTTAATACTACATATACTTAAATTAGCATTGTGATGGCCAAATGCATACTCCCATGCTTCTTTTTAATGAATTACAAACACACAAAAAAGTCACCCTTCCTCCTTTTCCAGAAGCTGCCTAACTTTTGGGAGCATAGCCTTCACACCCCTGTAGAATGAAGGGGCGTTGCGCGCGTGTGTGTGTGTGTGTGTCGTCTGAATGCAAGATGTGGGAGGGATTGTTTCTGCAGATATTGTAAATACAAGTACCATTTTAATAAAGCATGTACAATACCACATGTGCTGTCAGACTTTATATAGTAGCTGTTAAGCAGAGCTGGAAATGATGGAATACAAAGGGGAAGAAGTCTTGGATATGTGAAGCATCCATCACTGTTAATACTGCTCCTTGTCTAGCTGTTTTCCCTTTCAAGTCCCAGCTGTTGAGGAATCTTGAGGACTTACTCAGGTAAGCTGTATTTAAGAGAGTAAACCTATGCCAATGCATTTATGGTGGGGAAAAAGAAGTAATGTAAATAAAGCATTTTAGAAACTCAGTGTAATGTACAGTAGGAGGAATATGTCTCGTGGCATTAATAAGACGAGAACAGCAGCCTTGTGGCTTATGTCTGTGTACCTCTGCAGATTTCACCGGTAATAAGTCTACAGTAACAATTTATATATATACACATTCTGTGGAACTGTAAACTGTGAAATTCCAGAGTTGACTACTTTTTTATTCCTATTTGACTGAAAGAGATTTATATTGATGTAAATGAAACAAATAAACAAAAACTCTTCTGTTGAATCATGTGTAACTCAAGTGTCCTAGAAGGCAGATTGAATGCTGTTGCTTGCATATCCAGCCCTGGAATAGAATAGTTTTAGCATAGAAGTAACAGAAGTAGAGCTGTTTCTCCATAAAGTTATGGCTGCAGCGTCCTGTTCAGGCTGGACAGTTCTGAGAGGTGTGAATTCAGTAAGCACTGGCTTCTGCTTGGGTCACATCGTTATAAGCTGAGCAATAGTACAATATCCAGGCTTGGACTGAGTGTCTGCTAATCATCTAACTGCTGAAATGCTGGGCATGCTGCTGTAACTAACCACAGAAATATGTGGTTTAGATGAAACAGTGGAAGCTAACAATATAAATAAAAGCTTCCTTCCATAGGACAGGGGCTAGGAGTAATGAAATACCAGTTCTATATCTGGATGCTTCACTAGGAAGTTTTTTTTCTTTTAACTAAATCTCACTATAAAAGGTTTTACCCTACAATTACAGTATGCCTTTCACTTTTAGCTGTTGCATTTCATCATGGCATCCAGATTGTCTACTTGTGGAGCAAGAAAACGCAGCTTACCCAACTATCCCATAGGACAATCAGATAAATACTTTTTTTCTGCATTGTATTTGGTAAAATACGCATGAAAATACACATACACGTTACAGCTTCTACCATACAAAGTCATGGCTGGAGGTTCTTAACACTGTCAGTTTCTCTGCTCTTCACTCATTACAGTCATTAGTATTGCTACATCTGGCATAGCATTAGCTGTTCATCATGCTTATATCTGCTTGATGTACTAGCTTCCTACTAGAGAAAGAAAGGTAGTTACATGCACTTCTGTTGTTTTTTAAAAAATGTTTTAAAAGCACAATGCTTAAAATTTAACTTTTAGGATTGGCTGAACAACAAGATGGGTAAAGCATGAGTTTTGTTTTAAAACATCTTAATGGCAACTATGAGGAATACAAAACTTATCCCATGGCAGCAGAATGTTGCATAGACTTAATTCTGTATTTTGATGTCTAGTGGATTTAAATTACCATCATCCGTCCTACATACAAAGTCAGTAGTGATCTAAAGCTGATAATCTAAAAAAAAAAAAAGTGCTTTAAAGCACAGAGTAATATATATAAAAAGTTGACATATACAAAGCATAATTGAGAATAACATCAGATCTATCTAGCCTTCAGTGCAGCTGCTATAATAATTTGATGGAGACGTTCATCCTTGGAACATTTGTGTCAATCACTTGGTCAAAATTCACTGTTAAAGTAAAATGATGGGCAGGTTGGTACTGACTGTTGAATTTTGTTTAAGCAACATGAGGGTCTTGAAGGGAGAATTTCTCATCATCCATAGGAACAAAATACATTTTCAGTTAAATATATGACTTGTTTTCCTAGGCTAGACTTAGTGTTAAACTAGTTTGAACCATCGTTTGTTTTGACACTTCTGCCTCATTTGTACGCTGCTTCCCAAAAGTGGTGCATTATGGCAGGAAAAATATTTTTAAGCCTTCTTGATTTTAAATAAAATTTTACCATGTTGTTACTTGATCTGAACATCTTGAATTTCCAGTAAGGACTACAGAATTATCTTTTCACATGCTTGTACCTGTTTGTATCTTTTTACTGAGCTAGATCTACTTTTCCTTGACTGAGGTTTAAGTTTTCTATCCTTCAGGGTTGGACACAGAATCTAAAATCAGTTTGGCACTCTGATTTTGCAGGAAGAAAAGTAAGGTTAGAATATAGCTTAGAACTAAGATATTTAAAGTGAAGCAAGATCAGCAGTTTGATTTTACTGTCTTCATTGCAAAGGTCAGGGAGCAGTTAAACCTTGCATAGGCTTTGTTTGAGTCTCTTTGATAATACAGTAAGAGTTTGTGGGGTTTTATTTCCTCTAGGAAAAGATACTGTTCCTCTGTGTAGAACAGTACAAAAGATTTGGCTTTTTATTGCTTTCCTCAACACAAGTTAAGGAAGCCTTGAAGGCTTACTTACATATGGAAAGCAAATAAATAATTAGGTATGAATGTTACTGCTAAATCTTTCTACTGGCTTCTAATTTACAGTTAAAGGTGAATGTTTCCTAAGAGGTGCTCACAGACTGGGTTTAAGGTTGCTTTGATAGAACCTGTGTGCCAGGGTTGGCTCAAATACAGGTGAAGGGTTGTTTCCCTGAAACCCCAAAAGCACAGAGGCTGAAGACAGCAGAGAAGAAAGCTCTTAAGACAACAGGTCAAGCAAGCCTAATGTAGCTGTGGGATTTATCAGGAAAAGATCATTGGCTATGCTCAGTCTCCTCTACCTGGAGCCAAGGGACTGTCATTTGTCACCTCGGCAGTGCCTGAAGCAAAGGCTGCACAGTAGAGGCTGCTGTGAATACAAACTGTTTTCCATTCATTCTAACGCTTTATCTCCCCCAGAAATCCAAATCCCTGTTGCACTTCAGGAGCATCAGTCACACAGACCAGGCTACTGCTGCTCATTATAGGAAAATATCTAGTCTTCATCAGGAACAAGAGCCAGCTTGAGTTTTCCCTTCCCTTTTAAAAAGCCTCTAGAATCCAATATTTTGAGCATGACAGGAATCTTCCTGAGTTTAGGCAGGATAGTGTTTTGAAGTATTGGTATGGTCATTTCTCAACAGAAGAAATGAAGACAAATCTAGAAAGTCTTCAAGAAGCACATGGGAGAATTTTTAGACAAGGAAAGGTCCAAGACTTGCTGAGTGTTCAGTAATAGACCACTGATAGAATACAACCACTCAAGTCAAGGTTGGATTAAATGGACCTAAAAGGCATCAGAAGGGATGTTGCATACACACGCAGGTTCAGAGACAAATTTATGGCCTTGCAACAAGGTACATCAGTTACTGAGAGGGGATTAACCACGTGAAGCCAGATAGAGAAACAAGCAGCAATGTAAGTATTGTATTTCCCACCTCTCTGCAAGGAAAGAGGGGGAAGATTCAAGCCCATGGGAAGTGAAAGGGGCATTCCTGGAAGGCAGCCAGAGTTGTGAATGGACTTGGGTGGTGTTTCTGTCCACCCCACTAAAGGGACACTATCTAAGCAATTCTAGAGGGCAGCAGGTAAAGTATTCATTCTCTCAGGTAAAGTATTCACTCTCTCAGGTAAAGTATTCACTCTCTCTGTTTTCCACCATACTTATCACTCACCTGTAGTGGTTTTTTTGAAAATACCCAGTCATGTGGCAAAAACAAATCAATATTGAACTTGAAGAAAGCTGGCTCACATCCCAAGAACCACTTCAGCCCTTAACAGGCTGGGTTTCCACAATACCTCAGTGCACCAGAAATTCCCGTGCAAATCTACACCCTTACACTCTTTCAAGTTGTTTTTCTTCATACTTTGGGGGGAAGAAGTTGATATACAACACAATTAGGATTTTTTTGTTGTTTTTATAAAATATTTGAGGATAATCACAAAATTACACACACTAAAAGCTTAATCTGCACATTTTCCAATGAAAAGTGAAAGGAAATATCTTAAATTTATTACTTGTATATACAATTTCAATCCAAATTTACATTTGCATCATTTTCATGGATAGCAAAAGGCATGGATCAAACATAGGATTGAGATGTGTCACTTCAGCATATTTATAGGATATTTACTTATAATCTTGGTATGTGTTTGTTTAAATTTATTTAGAAACAGGCCACTGACAAAAGGCTGGATTTTGTATTGAAATGTAGAAACTGTAGGAAGGTCACTGCTACCAGTACCCATTTCTTTCAATGCAAAGATCCATCATTTGTTTCAGTGAGATTCAAAAGACAAAGACTGAAAGATTAACAGTCTTGTTATAATAAAACCCCGTCCATAGCTGTGCAGTCAGATTAAGGCATCTGTGCTAGACAGAACTTTTTAACTTTAAAGTTAACTGGAGTGATTTCTGCAGTTAACTAACCAAAAGCTGGAATTCTTCTCACCTACCCCTGGAAGAGGTAAGTTATCCACTTCGTTCTTTCTGAGTCTTTAAAAACAAAGCAATGAAGTTAGTAAGACATGTAAACATCCCCATCTTTCAGCTATAAAAATGGATTTGTATTTGAGTAACTTATATTCAGTGAATTGTCTTTAGACCTGTTTGAAATCATTTAGGCTTAGCTAGCATAATTTAAGCAGAACTTAATTCAGATATTGCAAAATAAAGCAAATAAAATTTACAAGAAATACTTAGTTTCCCTCCAAACTAATTATTACTTGAAATATGGAGAAAAAAAAATTTAAAAATGATGCCTCTCCTATTGGAGTTCATAAGAGAATTCAAATGAAGACACCTCTCAAGCCCAGAATAATCTGAATAGTTTGCTATTTTAACAACCTGCACAAAATGTAGGTGAATGTTAATTTAAGACACTATGAAATCAAAAGCTCAATTTTCCCCTGTAGTTTTTTGCTCCTTGAGTTATTAAAGAACTAGTACTGAAGGAAATATCTGCAAAACTATCCCAGTTATGTCCACTCAAACTCCATAATTAATAAAATGCCAACTATGGAGACCCTGAAAAAAACAGAAACTATATCTTTAAACAGAATCCAGAAATGCAGTTTCATATATAGCTGCGTGTTCTCGAGTGCTTTTGCACAAAAACATCCTTTTTGATAGTTAGGTTCAAGAGTAAACCAATCACAGAGATGCCCTCCTTTCCATTTAATATTCTACATATAACGTAATCTTTTTTGCTTTGGTAAAATACAAATGATGGGGAAATCTGAGTAAGGAAAGCACAGTAAATAACATGGTTGTTACCTTTTTTAAGAAATCTGAGCTGAAATGTAAGGCATCCCCCAAAGTATTTTTTGCATATGCAAGGAATGCAGTTCTTTGTAAACAAAAGCTTGAGAAAAGCAATACTGAAGCCAAAGAATCTTCCCCTAGGATCCTTCCAATGATCCCATAACCAAGAGCAACGCTCCTAGGGTAAGTGTTTTGGAACCACATCCTGTGAAAAAGAGAATCCAATTCTTTGTCATTCCATACGT